CCAATATACTGTCAGTATAATTTCATTTTTATCTTTGGCTGCTCTGTTTATATAGGTTCGAGTAGTTGTCCGTCTCTCAGAAATAGAGTTGGTTTGGCCTTCGCTATTGCATTTCTTGGCTTTAGGAGATCTGTGACAGAGAGCGGATCTGACTGCAAGTCTTGTTTTAACCGATCCCGGGCTGGGGTCTTGACATTCATATAACAAGACTTATAGTGAGCAATTGATTCAGGTTGATTGCAAGATGGACATACCTTGTCATAGTGCTTTTTGTGACCGAGTCTGGGGCGTGAGATGGCAATTTCATCTTTCCTTTCATTTGAGTATGAGTATGGCTTTTGGTGTATCTTGGGTTGAATTTTGTATAGCCATCTGCCGATCTTACTTGCGTCCCACTGGGCTTACCATCTTTGGGCTATGGAGGCTTGGATTTTGCTTTTTATTTCCAGTTTACTAAAGGGAATAGGCTGTATCTCCACCTTGTCTAGAGCAAGCTTCGCCAGTGTGTCTGCTTTTTCATTTCAGTGAATATGTGTGAGGCGGGACCCAACACAGCTCCACCTGTTGCCCTTAGTCCGATAGTTTTGTATATTCGTAAAGAATATTATTGCCTGTGTTTCGCCTGGAGTTTGAGTTTCTGAAGGCTTGAAGTGCACTTAGCGAGTCTGAGAGAACGACTGCCTTTGCTTCTGGCATTTCCGGTAAGAGTTTGAGTGCATGACGAATTGCCTCCAATTCAGCAGTGATAACTGACTGACCATCAGACAGGCGAACCACATGTGCTTGGGGTTTGGAGCTGTGGATATAGATCCCGTAATCAGCACTGTTGTTGACAGGATTCTTGGATCCATCAGTGTATATATGGGCCCAGCTGTCCCTGGTAGTTTGAATTTTAGTGATAGCTTATCCATTCTTCTGATCATGTGTCTTATATAATATAGCTACTAATTTCAGTAAAAATCCCCAACTCAGATGGATTTAGCTATGAAAACGTCAAAGAGATTGCCAGTGTCTGGGTCATATTATTATGAGTAAAAGGGTGTGTATCGGTTAAAGATATTCCACTGTCTGACAACTGGGTGTCTGACAAATGGGAGGACCACCGCTCTATTTATCGATGAAGTACACATTATTACAACAGTACTGTTTAAACGGCAGTTTTAACTGAACCAGCCAACACTGGACAATACAACCAATACAAGCACATTTAGCGTAAGCCCCGTGCCAATTGTTTAGCATAAAGACAACACAATCAACAATGTGTTGACAATGGTAAGCGCCAATAAATAAAGTGGCCTCTTACGACCTGGAGCAGATGAGCTGCCACAATTTGAGCTCCTGGGTCCTCGTGAATTGGGTTCGAGTGGCGAATGGGTAGCTTAAGTAAAGGGTTCGATTTCCAAAATGGGTAAATTTTGTCCGTCTCGATAAAGTTGAAATATAATCAACAACGATTTAGAATTATCCCCAACCACTCTCATGAACCCTGTAAGCCGCTGAATGCCATTTGTCCGGGTGGAGTGTCTGGTGCTTAACAGGTGAATTCTACCTCATATTTGTTGGAAAAGGTGCATTAAATCAGTATAGGTGGTTACTGTGTGTGGAGACCGCCTCCATGGCCTAGTGGTAGAGCGTCCACCCGGAGAGTGGAAGGTCCGAGTTACGATCCCCGGCCGCGTCATACCAAAAGACGTTAAAAGATGGTACTTGTTGTTACCCTGTCTGGCGCTCGCCATTAAGGGGCTAAAACAAGGACTGGTCGGCTCGGAGTCAGTATACTGTGTCTGAGTGGGGTATCCATGTTGAACTGCGGCATGGTAGCTCAGTGTGCTAGCTAGCACTATAAATCGACATCAGTCCGGACTAGTACAAGCAGCCACACACACAGAGGTGCATGCACGTCGCTATTTAAGTGCAATAGTATTGGACGCGACGTTAAACCCCATTTCATCTCACCTTACAATGTGTGGCTTGTTTGTTGGTCATTTGCTGCTGTCATAAACCACAGGTCTGACCTTCAACACGTTACTTAAAAGTCGGGGAGACATGCAGCTGGAATATTGCTGACACGTCATTCACTTTATTACTACATGACGTTTAGCCGTCACTTTTGTGCAATTAAAAGATGCAGATTCGCTGAATGGGATATCGCGTCACTGCTAACAAATTACAAACATTATTTTCATAATTACCGTTAATCCAAAGTAGCCTCTACAAAGGCAGGGTTGGTGCACATTCAACCGTGTGTGCGCTTCTACTTGTCCGGAATAATGCCGATTTTATAGTGAGGTGAGGTGAAATGGGGTTTAACGTCGCGTCCCGATTTTATAGTGCTAGCCCACTGAGATACTATGCCGCAGTTACCGACCAGTCCTTGTTTTAGACTAGCAATGCCGAGCGCCAGGCAGGGTAACAACAAGTACCATCATTTAACGTCTCTCGGTATGACATGGCGGGGATGGAACCCCCGATACGTTCGCTCTCTGGGTGGACGCCTCTACCACTTGACCACGGAGGCGGCCGATTCAATTAGGAGAAAGGGGCTGAATGATGTGTTACCTATTTTCTGTAAATTTAATGAGTTTTGCTTCAGACACTTGAAGTCTGATACTTTAAATGAAAGAACTTGGGTTTCTGGACTATAACTTTTGAACTGAAATGTACACTGTGCATGGTTCGTGTGAATATATTTCTACCATAAACTGTTGCCATGTGCCAAATCTGTCACCGTTTGCGATTGAGCCTGCTGACACGGGGCTACTGTTAGCCCTGGTTATTTGGGCGTGTATTGAACAATTGTGCTGATGCCAAAGGAGTGTGACTCATTTAGCCAAGAGACGGCGACCAAAAAAGGTGGTACAAATCTGTACCATATCCGATTATGAGTGCGCATGCGTAACGTCCTTATTGCCGACGCATAGCTTTTTAAATTGCGAAATGTGATCGTTGCGCAAGAATCCCGACAGCGCGGCACGAGGTCTACCTCTGACTACCACATTAAGCAGAGATGTAAAATAGTACATTGCCTATCTGAAAATGTAAATTTTAAATTAATTGGACATATAAGACATTATACATTCCTCGCCACTTTAAATGGAATCACGAAATATCGCGATGATTCATTAACGAAGATATCTGCATGTGTGAAAACAAGCCATTCCGCCGATAAGAAATAATACTTACACCAATGACAAAATGTACGAAGTGCGCTTTTCAAGAAGAAATATCCATTTGGCTTGAAATAAACATATTTAAGTTTTGATCACGTGGTTACAATCCTGGTATCCCCGGCAGTCAGGTGACTATACTTAGCAGTGTGTGCAGCGAACGCACATTACCAGCACGAACTTAGAGAAAAAATGTGTAGATATAGTATTTAAAGCGCCATTGACCAGGTTCACTGCTAAATATAACCGTTCAGTCACCTGACTGCCGATTCTAACGAAGATTGTAACCAAGTGGTCTGAACTCAGTGATCGGTGACCTTTCACATAATGGCGTGTTCAATGACAGGAGTACGCCAGGTATTCAGAGGATATTCTTTGATTCAGGATCGTATACACATAAATGAACCATAAAAGTAATCAGAATGATTCGTACAATCTGCGTATTGGTTTTTTGTGTTTATGTTTTCCATTGCAACCCAATGACTTGGCGGAAAATACAGATTAATACTGTCGACGATGTGCGCAAGATCGCGTCAGTCATGGCGTCAAGCGGAACATTATTAACTACACGTATTTCTTTTGTATTTACCCAATAACTGTAATGTATCCATTTTCACTCCCCTTATTCTTCTTACGACAATCTTCCCATGCATATTCTCAATAATGTGATCAAATAAGAAAACGTACAACATCATGGATAAGAACTATTGGTTTATTGCAGATAGCCATCAGCCAGATAATATTATCCATAAAGTTGTGGATTTTCTTACTTACTCACCAACTTCAAAAAACTGCTTAACGATTCTAAGTTTACAGGCAAGGTTTCAGAATGGTTATTAGTGTTTTGATAAATTTCAGATATCCGTGGTCACTAATATGATGCTTTTGTAATCGAATTCTCCAAACTAGTATCAGATATTTTGATTTCAAATGATACATGAAATCACGCTGTGAATGGTGATCTAGTATTTATAATGTACAAAAAGGCGATATATTACTATGTAGGCATATTTACCTTTCAGAAGTCGTTTGCAATTGTGTACGAGATGTGTTTTGAGTTTAACTGAAATTTAAAGGCTTATAGTTTGTTTGTTGTTTAACGCCGCGCTCAGCAATATTCCAGCTATATGACGGCGGTCTGTAAATAATCGAGTGTAGACCAGACAATCCAGTGATTGACATCATGAGCATCGGTCCACACAATTGGGATCGATGACATGCATCAACCAAGTCAGCGAGCCTGACCACCCGACCCCGTTAGTCGCCTCTTACGACAAGCATGGTCGCCTTTTACGGCAAGCACGGGATGCTGAAGACCTATTCTACCCCGGATCTTCAAAGACTTATAGTGAGGGTTGAAGGGTACAAATGTCCCAGCTTCCAGCAGTTTATCAACTACGAAGGCAAAGAAACATGGAGACATGCGCGAACCTCAAAAGTTTGTTTTGAGCTATACATATCACTACAAACTGCTTTGCTGATGTTATTTTTTTCGAGAGCACTTTTACGTCACAAGCAAACTTCACATTGGCCGCTATTTCTTATCGAGGACCAATGAATCTTTAGCGTCGCCTGCCGCCTGTTTACTGTAGTTTAGGCAGACAGGAGCCCAGTCTACGTTTACTTGTGGCACGAAGAGACAGGGCCCAGTTTAAACAAACCCTTGCAAGGCTTGCTTCATTTTGTTTTCTTAAGGAAGCAAACAATCCAGGGGCGTAAACTGTTCGAAAATCCCCATGGAGGTTATCCGGTAGACTCAATATAACAGAGACAAAGATAACACAAATTATGACTGGCTGAGTATATCTGTTGCATGAAAGGTGACAAAGACGTTACAAGGTCATCCCTGGGTAGGGTTGTTGAATGTAGGTTCGTGCCGCACCACCTTCTACATCACACCGAGGTGAGAGGTCCCCCCGCGACCCATACAATTCTGGGTGGAGTCTGTAGACGGAGGGTGCCCAGGGAGAAGTCTTCCTAGTCTTGTAGGCCAGGAAAATCACCGCGAGGACGATAATGAGAACGACCCCCAGCAGACAGCCCACGAGGATGGTGAGCACGTTGGTGGTGTAGACGAGGCTGCTTGCCGTTGTCGGGGGCTCCGGGCGTGGAAATTCATGTTGGAAGTCATGGTGCGTACCATTATCTTGTGCTTAAATAGACAGGTAACGTTAGATCGGTGTACGGAAATATGTTTACGCTCTCAAAGTCGATTTTCATTGGAACTGCAACAAAACAGCGTTTCTTTCCATGTTTGGATAGCCTTCGATCCGCAACATACATTGTTAACATACATTTGTGGATATCATTTTAGGAGTGAGAGCTATGGGTTTAACGCCGCTATAACAGTATTTCATTTACATCACGGGGTGTCAGCTTAATGTGTGTGTGGGGGGCAGACGTGATGCAGGTCTCAGACATTTACCACTTTGGTGAAACCTACGAGCACGGGTATGGCGATGACAGACCTATGAACTTAATCGGGGCGAACCGGCAGAATTACAGCGAACAGCGACACCTGGGCCACTCGTGCGTCAGTGAATGGGTTGAGTGAGTATGGTTTTACGCCGCTTTTAGCAATGTTTCAACAATATCACGGCGGGGGGACACCACAAATAGGCTTCACACATTGTACCCATGTGGGGAATCGAACCCGGGTCTTCGTCGTGACAAACGAACGCTTTAACCACTAGACTACCCCATCGCCCCCTGAATGGGTTGAAGACAGAATACGACCACTGCAGTAGCGTGCACACATACCTTTGTCCAGGTCATTGAAGAATGACCCGAAGCCTATACAGATAAACGACCCAATTGTGTTCTTGCAGATCTGGATCACTCCATACTTTGGGCGTGGACACGCGTTGTGTTGACACTCGTCGACATCTGATGATAAATATACAATAAACAAAACCCATCATGTTAATGAGACATGAAAGCCGACGCAGAGGGGTAGAAAGTAAATTCGGATGTAAAAGACTGAAAGCTTGAGAACTCTTACATTCTCTGAGAAAACATAAGTGTACGTGCCAGACAGCCAGGCAGAATCATACACAGACAGACAGACAGACCGCCACAGCTGAAAAAGTAACATTTTTGTCAGCAAAGCCAAAGGTGTTGATGGAGGAATTTATCTTTTCGTATAAGCATCATACCGAGTTTACGAAACGTGTCAGAATGTATTCCCTCCCTTCCTCTCAAAAGCATTCTCGTTAAACTAAGTTCATTTACACCAATACCATATCTCCCCGAGGAAGATCGGAGTCAACAAGGTAACATTTCTGATTTCAAAGAGACTGGTTCAAACCTACATTATATTACTCGTTTAGTTGAAAGAGTTTGCAAGAAGCATCACGCTGTCAGGTTTACCTTCACAGTTTCTCTGGTTCGCTGTGAGATTGTATCCAGGTCTGCAGGTGCACCTGAAGCTCCCAACAGTGTTGTGACAGAGCTGCTCGCAGGGCCAACCAGTGATACACTCATCTATATCTGGAATTGCATGCAAACAATGTGCCACGATGCGAGTGAATGCCGTTTTTTGTCGCAATCTGCAATATGACTTTATCACGACGGCCCGTTAAATCGATATTGGCAAGGCTAACTTGTGATTAACAGCAAGAACGACGATCAAAGCCTTTCCACTCCGTTAATTAGTATTGTTAACTTCGTATTTCATATATATATGACGCTTGCGCGATTAGTGTTGGCGAAAAGCCGAAAGAGAGGTAGGTCGCTGACATTTATGCACGTCGGTGAGACCCAAGAGATTGGGCATTGTATGGATGAACAGGGATCATTATCCGGAATCACACGATTCCGCACCGCCATACTGTCAACGAATCGACCAATGATTTATATATCCAGGCTGCGTCATCCTCGCCCACTTCCGCTGGCAATACTTGCAGGTTTTTGGTGTGCTCCGACACATTTTTGCAAGGTTCTCCAATAATATACTCGTATGTACACAGTTATTACGTCATGATAGATGCAGAAGTTAACCATCTGTCCTAGATGCAAACCATTATTACGTCATGACAGAGATACGTGACGAACGAGGGATGGCTGAAACTTTCTGCGCCAAACTGAGATGCACTGTGTTGATGGAGTTGGCGGCTAACACTTTTTCAACTTAATCTCCTCCGAGGGCCACACTCTTCTGCCAACGATGCATACGTACAAGGATCCAACCGGTGTGGAAGGCTTCCTCCGTCAGCAGAAATGACGTCATTATTTACTTAATGTTTGACAGTTCTTTTTTCCAGTTTGGTGGAAACATGACGGGTGCCAAACCTGGTAATTACACACGAAGACGCCAACAGACTTGTGCACAGATACGTTGTCCGGTGGAACAACACGCTGCTGTCTCAACTGTCTAAGCTGATTATCCTGATAACACATACAGTTACATAGTGTTTGTGCACTTCTTACAACATAGCGACTATAGTAGAGATTGTGCATGGGTCTGACCTTTCGGTGGGTAGTCCAATAGTATACGTATGATTCCTTCGAAATCCAAGAAACCTTGTCAGCTGATGGAACAGACTCGTCCCTCAGACGTTACAAAAGATGTAACAAATGTTATATTTGGCATAACACTTTCTTAGTAAAGTACAGATTCTAGTACTTTTTGGGGTTGAGTCCCCTCCGGGATTCGAACCCACGCTGCCCGAGTTAGAGCGTTACAAAAGATGTTTCCACTGCTTTGACTGTTTAGTCTCTGGCTTGTACCTAAAAGTTATCAATTAGTTTACGAGAAAAGCCTACTGCTTTGACTATGTGACGTGGGGTGATTTCATTATCATGTCTTATATCTTTTCAACATTACCAGAGTGGGGGAAGATGAAGGCCAAGCTTCTCTCTTGAGGTGGTTAGGTAAAATGGGATTTTACGTCGCGTTCAAGATTACAGCACTTATATATGTATCACACTAGGTCTTATAGTACAATCACACTGATGCCGATACCATGCCGCAGTTCAACACGGATACCCCACTCAGACACAGTATCCTGACTCCGAGCCGAACAGTCCTTGTTATTACCTTGATGCCGAGCGCAAGGGTAACAACAAGTACCATCTTTGAACGTCGTTTTGTAGAATGCAGCCGGGGATCGAACCACCAACCTTCCGCTCTCCAGGAAGACGCGCCATCCACAAGACCATAGAGGCAGTCCCCTCACTTGAACTCCGGTGTTCATCTCTAGTGGCAAAGGAAGGTGCATCATCTTCTAAATATGACACCATGTCTACTGGAGTCAGAGATACTGAGAAATGGCGGTAGCCAATATTTTCCTTTTATCAATAGAGAATACCAAGTCACTTTGATGCCTGATGAAATCTGCTGCCTGATTGTCTATTTGGTTCAAATGCAGCCTATAAGCATGGACAATATTGTACATAAAAACATGAAAGCTGTTAACATCCTTTGTAGTTAGATTCAGAACGCTTCAGCCATCCCTCGCAAGCACATACCTGACAAAATATATGCTTGCAAAAATAACGTGCACGGACTCAACTTCTACCATGAGAAATATCCTACGTGTGTCACTCGGTTTATCAGATTTCAACGTCTTTCAGTTTTTAAAAGGAATCCTGTTATAACTGAAAAAGGTAATACACTTCTCATTCGTATTGGGGACAGACCCGAAGACATTTGTTGTGGCCCGAGCCATGTATGTTTTTACCGACACAGCTGCACTTATCAGCGGCAAGAGTGTACCCTTTTCGACAGCGACATTCGTGGGAGATGCCAATGTTGACGCAGATCTGTTGACATGGCTTGGGAGTCATCTTACACGTGTCAGGATCTGAAGTGTATAAAATACCTCATTTACCAAAACCGGCTTAAGAAAATAGACTTCTCAAAAGTATCCCGTGAAATGAGTAGCTGAGAGACCTGCAGTAGTCAGCAATGTTCCAGCTGTACGACGGCATCTCACTGACTGATAGCGTGGCCAATGATCTGCACAGCCGGGTATGAGGGCACACAATCAACCATTTCGCACATTGTGACCACCCAATCCCCAATTTTCATCAGCTCTTTCGACAAGGATGGGATTCTGAACTACGCCGCCGCCGATTCCCGACAAGTAATCAGGGTTATCAGATACAAACATTATTTCCAAGGCTGATATTTTCTTTTGAATGTTCAGTGGAAAGAGGATACCGTTACTGTCGATATTTTTCAACGTACTGTTGCCGTGTGACATAGAACTGTGTGACTGTGTTGATTTACGCCGCACTCGGCAACATTCATGCTATGCCACGACGGTCTGTAAATAATCGAATCTTGACTAGTGAGTGAGTGAGTGAGTTGGGTTTAACGCCGCTATTGAGAGTATCCCGGTTATATCGTGGCGTGTCAGCATAATGTGGGAGGAAAGCTCGAAGTGATGCAGGTCTTAGACGTTTACAAGTTCGGTGAAACCCACGAGCACGGGTATGATGCTGACAAACCTAGAAACATAATCGAGGCGAACCGGGATTCGAACAAACAATCGTAGGTTTCTGGCATGCCCAAAGGACGCAACTCTGCACAGCGAATCGCGGCGCCTTAGACGACTGGGCCATCCATGCCCCCAACGTCTGGAATAGAAAATCCAGTGATTGATATTGTGAGCAACGATCCACGCCGTCGGTGTACGGTGACACACTATAAACTAAGTCACCGAGTCTGACCACCCTAACTGCTTGGCCTTACGACCAGCATGGGTCGCTTGGGGTCAGTTCTACCCCTGAAACCCCACTTGGGGACATGGAAGTGTTTCATTGACCAAACTTACATTTATAGAGTTCTCCTTTAGGTCCAGTTACACCAGGTTCTCCTGCAAAGCAGAACCAATGGGAAGAGACATTACTGTTGGACATTTCATGTATATAAAGAAATATTTTAATGATTATTCGGGCAGCACATGTATTATCTTAGTCTACACAAAGGCATCAAGATTTAAGAGAAAGGGGAAAAGCAGCAAGCCTGTATGGTGATAATAAAATAATCAGAATATCTAGCTTAAAATTAGCAGTAACTGTTTCACAAGCCATCAGTTGTGCCATGGCCTGTCAGCTTTAGGTGTTATTAGTGGAATGTCGTCTTAGGCGTTTACCACCTTAGTGAGTATCGTATGCCGGACCAGACAATCCAGTAAATGACATGAGCCTCGATCTACACAATTGAGATACGATGACATGCATCAGCCAAGTCAGCAAGCCTGACCACCAGATCCCGTTATTCGCCTTTTAGGTGAGGTGAAATTGGGTTTAACGTCGCGTCCAAGATTATTGCACTTATAGAGCGACGTGCATGCTTGTGGCTGCTTGTACTAGTCCGGACTGATGCCGATTTATAGTGCTAGCCCACTGAGATACCATGCCGCAGTTTAACATGAATATCCCACTCAGACACAGTATACTGACTCCGAGCTTGGTCGACCAGTCGTTGTTTTAGCCCCTTCATGCCGAGCGCCAGACAGGGTAACAAGTACCATCTTTTAACGTCTTTTGTTATGACGCGGCTGGGGATCGAACCCCGGACCTTCCGCTCTGCGGTCGGACGCTCTACCACTAAACCACGGAGGCGGTCTACGAGCTCATAATTTGAGGGTGAATCTGGGATTCAGATCCATGACCACCCACCGAAGACTGGGAATTGATGTACTGCCCACCCAGTTGCGGACATAAGACCATTTGACCGGTCTCTGTTCTGAAGTCTTTACATCTACGCCAAACAATCAATGATTCTGAGATTATATTATCTTAATCAGTAGGCATCAATTGTACATCTATATCAGCCTGTAATCACAGCAAATAAAAACTCACCCCTCAACCCCATGTCCCCTGTTGCCCCATCATCTCCAAGCGCTCCGGTTTGTCCTGGCATTCCCGACACACCGGTCTCTCCCGCAGGTCCGATACCCCCTGTCTGTCCACTGACACCAGAAGGGCCAAAAGGACCCGTTGAGCCAAGGGATCCAGAAACACCTGTAATGCCTGTTGGGCCCCAAGGACCAGTGGGCCCAGTGATTCCTGGCAGACCAGATGGGCCAACATCTCCAGTGGCCCCAGTTGGGCCCGCTACCCCCCTTAAACCATCCTGTCCAGAGGTGCCAGTTACACCAGGCATTCCAATGTCGCCCTTGGTGCCAGACAACCCTGTAAGCCCTGGATATCCAGTAGCCCCGTTTACACCTGTTATGCCAGTTGAACCTGTTACACCCGTTTCGCCATCTATACAACATTGCATATAAACTTGCTTTGTTGTAAGATTCAAGATTTCGTCTGGATCAGCAAATATTACTCGCTTCCCCAAAAAGGTGAAGGGTCTAGTTTTGACCTGTGCGCCATAATATCCTGTTGTTCCCCCTGAACCTGCTCGTTCCGTTGTCGCAACATCACCTGCTTGTCCCGTTGCCACAGCATTACCTGCTTGTCCCGTTGCCACAGCATTACCTGCTTGTCCCGTTGCCACAGCATCACCTGCTTGTCCCGTTGCCACAGCATCACCTGCTTGTCCCGTTGCCACAGCATCACCTGCTTGTCCCGTTGCCACAGCATCACCTGCTTGTCCCGTTGTCACAGCATTACCTGCTTGTCCCGTTGCCAAAACATCACCTGCTTGTCCTGGTGCCACAACATCACCTGCTTGTCCCGTTGCCACAGCATCACCTGCTTGCCCCGTTGCCACAGTATCACCTGCTTGTCCCGTTGCCACAAAATCACCTGCTTGTCCCGTTGCCACAACATCACCTGCTTGTCCTGAGATTCCAGCATGGTCAACATAAACTTGCGGCTTTGTCAATCTTTGATGACCCAGCAAACCATCTACCCTAGTAGTGTTCGGTGCACCTTTCTGTCCTGGAACCCCAGTATTCCCTGCAAATACTCCTGCCGAGTCAGCGACACCCATGACACCAGGTGTTACCGTGACGCCGGAATGTCCAGTCCGTCCACGTGGTCCAACCGGTGCCAGAGCACCCACAGTTCCTGTAGAATATGTCACTTAGTTTGTTGTTAAACATCGCGTTCAAGAATTTTGCACTTATATAGTGCTAACCCGCTGAGATACCAAGCCTCAGTTTTAACATGAATACCCCACTCAGACACAGTCCTTATTGTATCCCCTTAATGCAGGCGCCAGGCAGGCTAACAATGAATAGTTACCGTCTTTTAACGTCTTTTGGGATTACGCGGCCGGGGATCAAGCCACAGACTTTCCGATCCCAGGGCAGACGTTCTGTCCACGAGATCACTGAGGCGGTCACGGGAGAATCTATAACTACATCAGTTAAACCAGGCGTGTTTACATGTCTAGTTTGATTTGTTTGTTGTTTAAGGTCGCAATATTCCAGCTATATGACGGCGATCTGTAAATAATCGAGTCTGGACCAGACAATCCAGGGATTGACATCATGAGCATAGATCCACGCAATTGGCATACGATGTCATGCATAAACCAAGTGAGCGAGCCTGACCACCCGATCCCCTAGCCGCCTCTTACGACAAGCATAGTCGCCTCTTACGGCAAGCATGGGTTGCTGAAAACCTATTCTACCCCGTGTCTTCACTAGTCTTTTTACATGTCTGACATGTAGGTCTTAATCAGGCGTTGATCCCTGTCACAAACAAAAGCATCTCTGGTAAATCAGTTAAATAATTAAGTATACTGTGTTTTACGTCCCAATACATACATCACATGTACGGGTGTCTAACAATACAAGTGGTTTATAGCATGATGTCCACCATCAATGTAGATGTCAAGGCACGGTGACATTTCGAATACGTTTAAGCTTATGTTTCAACGATGGGTTTGGTCGATTCTTCACAGGACACCTCATAGCGTCTTTGTTGTGAGTATGTTTTTTACACGATTTTGATATATATTATAAGCTTCTAAAATATCTTGTTTGTATACAGCCGACCTTTGTGTTGCACTTATGCTGTACATACAATCTCAGTTGTTTAAGAACACTCGTATTTCCATACATGAAAGCATTACCTAATGTTTACATTACAAATTACCTGAAAATGGCCTCAACAATGGGATCCTGCTCAAAGGTCTAAAAAAAACCTTCCAACTCCGAATAAAATCAGACTCCGCACTTTCGTTTAGTCTTTCAACTTTATATTTTATTGTTTAAGCAAACTGACATTTTCAATTCTTAAACTCTTGATATTAGTGAGTGAGTGAGTGATTACTGTTTTACGACGCTTTTAGCAGTATTCTATCAATATCACGGCGGGGGACACCAGAAATGGGCTTCAAACCCGGACCTTCAGTGTGACGAGCGAACGCTTTAACCACCATGCTATCCTACCGCCCTATCTAATATTAACAGCTGAAGCAGTATTCCAATATTTTGAATACCCACGTCAATAGTGGTCCCCACCTCAACGAAGTTGGGATTGAGGATGTTTCACACTTTAAAGTGTTATATTTGAAATCAACTTCATATTTTTAAGGCAAACTGACATTTTCAATGCTTACATTATCGGATATTATTATTATTGATTTGAACATCTACGTAAAGACCTTTACAACGGCTTCCACCTTAAAGTGAGTGCGTGAGTTGAATTTTACACCGCTTTTAGCAATATTCCAGCAACATCACGGCGGGGGACACCAGACATGGGCTTCACACATTGTACCTATGTCGGGAATCGAACTCGGGTCTTCGAACGCTTTAACCACTAAAGTACTCACGGAAATGAAAAAAAAACTGTTTTTTCGATCTCAGATTTAAAAAGAATGCAGTTAATATACAAAATATATAAATATTCAAACAACTCAATTAGTACTAATTGGGCCTTGGCACAAATACAGCGTATCAAAGGTTTTTATGTCTTTTTACACGTAAAAGTGTGTAAGAATATGAACAAAACAGACTATTGTGAAACTGAGCATAACCAGGTGTTAGTAGAATGTCTATGACCTATGACACCTTGACGACAGGTGAAAACAGGTGCTTGAAACCCACGTGCATGTGATTTGTCAGTGGTTAGTGATTTGTGAGTGTCATTGTGGGATAGTGAATCATCGTCAAAATATCAGAACGTAAAAGTAACATATTCCCTTCTCAAACAACAACTTACATGTCATTATTATTATGTACATAAACATAGCTGTTATTTTTATTGTGGTTTTGATAACTTTTTCCCAGGCTAATTTGCATAATGCCTATAGCCTGTTTCTGCCATGTCAATTTGGACTTAGTTTTATTTTTGAATGTTGAAAGTGCCTACAAATTACCTCTTGTAAAGTACATTTTGTATTGAGCACTGAGATAAAACTAGCAAATCCAGACTAGTACTTTTCCAGTTGTTTTGTTATTTCGTATTTTACATCTACGTAATGCTTTGTGTCGATTATTAAATCCAGCAAAACAGGTTTTTTTCATTTCCATGAGTACTTTAAGCTACCCCAGCACCCCTCCACCTTAAAGAAGAAGGTCATGATAAAGCTCCGATATGTAAGAGTTTCATCTTCAAACTCTTCCCATGATCAACTTCATACTATTCAAGCAAGCTGACATTTAAATTCTTAAATTATGTTATCTTAATAATGCTGTATTGAGAATACCCACGTACCAATATCAACAATGGCCTCCACCTTAAAGAAGTAGGTCTTGATGAAGCTCCGACTCCCGTATGTCTGCCCTACAACCAGGGTGGCGGGGACATTGTTGACAACAATCGTTCCGCTCTCCTGGTCCGGGATGCTGTAGGAGATGGGGCCAGCGTCGTGGTCGTACCTCCATCCAAGGAACTGACCCTTGCTGACCAGAGGAGGCTCGGTCATGTTGACCTAAATGTGACCTTGCTACATTTACAGAATGATGTACGAAAGACCCGATCCCGGTTCCACCAAGCGATCGTAGAAGTGATCGTACCTCTCATAATCTAACATACAGACCGTCGATGAGCAACGAACGGGTCCACTGCACAAGGGAAGAGTGGGTGAGCATGGTTGTACGTTACTTTCAGCAATACTGTAGCAATGTGACGGCGGAGGACACGTGAGTGAGTGAGTGAGTATGGTTTTACGCCGCTTTTAGCAATATTTCAGCAAGATCCCAGCAGGGGACACGAGAAAATGGGCTTAACACATTGTACCCATGTAGGGAATCGAACCCGGGTCTTCGGCGTGACGAGCCAACGCTTTAACCACTAGGCTTCCCCACCGACACTGGAGGACACAAGAAATGGACTTCACACACTGTAGCCATGTTGGGAATCGAACCCGGTCTCAGGCCAGTTAGGTGCAACTTTGAACAGTATTTCAGATATGCTTTGTTTTTTTTGTGTGTTGTTTAACGCCGTGCTCAGCAATATTCCAGCTATATGACGACGGGCTGTAATTAATCGAGCCTGGGCCAGACAATCCAGTGATAGACATCACGAACATCCATCCACGCAATTGGAATACGATGACAACCAAGTCAGCGGGCCTGACCACCCAGATCTCGTTAGTCGCTTTTTACGACAAGCAAAGTCGCCTTTTAAGGCAAGTATGGGTTGCTCAAGATCTGTTCTACCCCGGATCTCGAGGGGTCATGAGGCCATACATACTTACACAATGCCTGCCCTGTGTCTTTGAGAAGACAACACTCTCCTTGAAGATAAGTCTGTATCCACTTTCGGTCTTCTTGAAGACGAAGAATGTCCCCGTGTAGTCGCTTTCGAAGTTTTTGTGGATGTAGAAGCAGACCTGGAGTAGCCGCCCAGACACCAGGGGAAACGCGTCGTTGATGAACAGCGCGTTGCCCCCCTCATCATAGTACTGTATCCCACGCGTGGAGGCCGAGAAGCCGATTGACGTCGTCTGGGACGAGGCTGGAGGGTTAGCAGAGTGGCCGGTGGGAGGTTATGAGCTAGATGTGCACTGGTGTGTACGGAAGTTGCGTGGGCTTGTACACCACTGGATAGAAGGGGTGGGGTGTGGTGGTTAGAGGAAGTGAGGAGTGGAGGTTTGTGTTTGGGGTAGAGAGGATGAGAGGTGTCTGTCGTATAAGGTCAAATGTGAAGAGGGGGTGGGGAGGCTGGTGTTGGAAAAGGCTGAGGGTAGAGTGGAAGAAAGGCTTGTGTTGAATAAGGCTGGGAGAGAGTGGAAGAGAGGCTTGTGTTGAATAAGGCTGGGGGTAGAGCGGAAGAGAGGCTTGTGTTGAATAAGGCTGGGGGGGGAGAGCGGAAGAGAGGCTTGTGTTGAATAAGGCTGGGGGTAGAGTGGGAGAGAGGCTTGTGTTGAATAAGGCTGGGGGTAGAGTGGAAGAGAGGCTTGTGTTGAATAAGGCTGGGGGTAGAGCGCAATGAGAGGCTTGTGTTGAATAAGGCTGGGGGTAGAGCGGAAGAGAGGCTTGTGTTGAATAAGGCTGGGGGTATAGCGGAAGAGAGGCTTGTGTTGAATAAGGCTGGTGGTAGAGCGCAATGAGAGGCTTGTGTTGAATAAGGCTGGGGGCAGAGCGGAAGAGAGGCTTGTGTTGAATAAGGCTGGGGGTAGAGCGGAAGAGAGGCTTGTGTTGAATAAGGCTGGGGGTAGAGTGGGAGAGAGGCTTGTGTTGAATAAGGCTGGGGGTAGAGCGGAAGAGAGGCTTGTGTTGAATAAGACTGGGGGTAGAGCGCAATGAGAGGCTTGTGTTGAATAAGGCTGGGGGTAGAGCGGAAGAGAGGCTTGTGTTGAATAAGGCTGGGGGTAGAGCGCAATGAGAGGCTTGTGTTGAATAAGGCTGGGGGTAGAGCGGAAGAGAGGCTTGTGTTGAATAAGGCTGGGGGGGAGAGCGGAAGAGAGGCTTGTGTTGAATAAGGCTGGGGGTAGAGTGGGAGAGAGGCTTGTGTTGAATAAGGCTGGGGGGTAGAGCGCAATGAGAGGCTTGTGTTGAATAAGGCTGGGAGTAGAGCGGAAGAGAGGCTTGTGTTGAATAAGGCTGGGGGGGAGAGCGGAAGAGAGGCTTGTGTTGAATAAGGCTTGGGGTAGAGCGGAAGAGAGGCTTGTGTTGAATAAGGCTGGGGGTAGAGCGCAATGAGAGGCTTGTGTTGAATAAGGCTGGGGGTATAGCGGAAGAGAGGCTTGTGTTGAATAAGGCTGGGGGTAGAGCGCAATGAGAGGCTTGTGTTGAATAAGGCTGGGGGTATAGCGGAAGAGAGGCTTGTGTTGAATAAGGCTGGGGGTAGAGCGCAATGAGAGGCTTGTGTTGAATAAGGCTGGGGGCAGAGTGGAAGAGAGGCTTGTGTTGAATAAGGCTGGGGGTAGAGTGGAAGAGAGGCTTGTGTTGAATAAGGCTGGGGGGAGAGCGGAAGAGAGGCTTGTGTTGAATAAGGCTGGGGGTAGAGTGGGAGAGAGGCTTGTGTTGAATAAGGATGGGGGTAGAGGGCAGGAGATCGAGGCGTGTGTCGGATAAGGGTTAGTTGTGGATGGGAAGGGAAGCTTCAGGCTGGAGGTAGAGATATGGGTAATACTTCCGCCCGTATCCCACCACAAAAATATATAAAATTAAGAGGATTTAGCGGCAGTGCATACCTATATGACATTTGGAGGGGGGTACGGACGGAAGTCTTTCCGAGATACGTGGGCCTGACATTAGACTGTATCACTAAATGGTGTTTGTGCCGCAGTCAGGTGTACGACTTCACCACGGCAGTCGGAAACCTGTATCAAACCAGTGGTTGGCTGCGTGAATATCAAACCAGTGGTTGGATGCGTGAATACCAAACCAGTGGTTGGCTGCGTGAATACCAAACCAGTGGTTGGCTGCGTGAATACCAAACCAGTGGTTGGCTGCGTGAATACCATTCCATGGAGTTTTACGATGGCATACCATCAAGTCACGAAGACACTCTTTCATAGCTGGATGTGTACTCTAACGCTACTACGCTACTACTCACTGGCCACCTTCACATCACAAACGTTGGGCGCTCGTGATCTCAACGTCGGGGAGGAGGGAGGGGAAGAATCCACGTTCATTGGACAAGAAAACAAAATCGCTCACCCTCGACAGCGTCCATCATGACAACTGCGACTGCCATCGTGGTCACACACGCCGTCATCAGATGTAAACTCGGCGTCATCCTGAATGTCAATATCAACTGTTACACACATTGTCAAGGTAATATACGGGAGAAATTCAGAGGTTGGATGTCCAATGCAAATCTCAAAATCCTGTGTTGCGTGGACAACGGCCATACTTGACAAATATCGCTGGGCGTTAATTTAAATCACGAACTGTGATAATCAAATGAACAAATCAATCAAGACTATCTGTTACATATAAAAGTGAAAAAGAATGATATCACCTTTCCTGGGGAACAGACACTACAAACGAGCGTGAAGTCCGTGCGCGTCTCGTTTATGACACATCACGTGAGCTCGTGCACGTGCAGGACAGCCTGCTGTGGAAATTGTGAGATCGGTTTCACATCACATTTCCATGGTCTGTTTGACGTTTACATTTTGTATATTTGATTTCAATATTTTCACCCAAATTACGACTTTAACGTATGTTTACTTTACTCGTTAAACACTCAATTTGCTTCGTTGACGCTCAACAAAAACTACACAGCAACATATCAGAGGAAAATGCTCACCTCGGAAGTGCTTCATATTAATTGCTTCTTGGATGCATTTACTCTGTGATAGTTTAAATGGTCGGAGGATTATTCTTCTCGCATTAATTCAATTTGTTGTCATATGTTGAAATATTGTTATATTTGTTTGAGAATAGAAATAGAATAAAAGAATATGTTTTTAAACGTTGATATCTGAATGTCCTCCTTGTGATTCACGTGATCAGTTTCAAGCGTTTTTCCAAACTAAACGACTGTAGCGGTCTTTCTGACATTTATCCGACCTATTAAATTATTTTTTTCATACGTAATTGAATCCAAAAATACTTTGGGATTGATATAACTTGTTGACTGACAAACCTTGTCTTATGTTAACAAGAAAATCTTTACATAAAAGAGAAATGATGCAAGGTAGATTCGTCCATTTTGTTTTCACTTCGCACAGATAACATAGGGTTAAAATGCAAATAAACGGTATGCTGTTTTAAATGGCAATTTCGTTGAATTTTTACATATATGTTTGACATTGCCACGTCAGTCGCATATTTGACAAGAATGTTTGACATGGACACGTCAGTTGCATATGTGACAAGAATGTTTGACATGGCCACGTCAGTTGCATATTTGACAAGGATGTTTGACATGGCCACGTCAGTTGCATATTTGACAAGAATGTTTGACATGGCCATGTCAGCTTCATATTTGACAAGAATGTTTGACATGGCCACGTCAGTTGCATATGTGACAAGAATGTTTGACATGGCCACGTCAGTTGCATATTTGACAAGAATGTTTGACATGGCCACCTCAGTTGCATATGTGACGAGAATGTTTGACATGGCCACGTCAGTTGCATATTTGACAAGAATGTTTGACATGGCCACGTCAGTTGCATATTTGACAAGAATGTTTGACATGGCCACGTCAGTTGCATATTTGACAAGAATGTTGGACATGGCCATGTCAGTTGCATATTTGACAAGAATGTTTGACATGGCCACGTCAGTTGCACATTTGACAAGAATGTTTGACATGGCCATGTCAACTGCATATTTGACAAGAATATTTGACATGGCCAGAATTAGAATTGGTCTTCAGCAGCCCATACTTGTGTAGGAGGCAATTAATGGGATCTTGTGGTCAGGCATACTGACAAGGTTGATGCATGTAACTGTATCCAAATTGCATTGATCAATGCTCATGTCAGTCACTTGATTGTCTGGGCAAGACTCGAATATTTACAACTTGACATCATATAACAAACCAAACAAACATGGTCACATCTGTTGCATCTTTGACGTATTTGATGTAAATGTTTGACATGGTTGCATCTTTGACACAGATGCTTGACACAGTCACAGCAGTTCTATTTGATATCAATGTTTGACGCCACTCACGTCTATTGCATTTTTGAATGGTCATGTCCTTTATGTATTTCACATGATTATTTACAGTGGTTAAGTCAGTTACACACTGATAATGAAGTTACAGCCATAAAAAATACATATTTGACATGGGTTGAATTGCAACTACATGAAAGTGAGAAATTTACAGCTAATGGGGATATACACAATACACAACAACCATCTACACATTCATGACTTTATTCCTGAGAAAGTGAGTAAGTTAGTGTACAGTGTTACATTGAGTATACTTCATACAGCCAACACAGGCTGGTTATGCACGGCAGTAGAAACATGTTACGTTAGACACCATCGCCATCAAACTGCTTGCAAGGTAAGGTGGGAAATGCTAGAACCTGCCTTGCAACTAAGTACAGATCACAGGACGGATAGAACATATCACATATGTCATCACAACAATGTAGTAACAGATCACAGATGTTTGGAAACGTGGACTTTATATGGGCAAGGGCATGGAGTAATATGTATAGATAAGCTGGATATATACTTGACTTGGTTACACCACACGGATATACACACTGGAGTTAATCTGCCACTAGGTAGTTCCGTTTCCATGTGTCTTGTTAAAGTATTAGGCAAGTCTTGTCTAGAATACATCCTTGTGTGAGTATAGAAATGCAAACCTCTGTATTATTTTTTTCATTTGACAATTTAGTTGCTAATTAAAAGAAAATGTCACAAATGAAACATGGCACTAGAAAGTTGTTTTTACAAACAGCTATTTGGTGAAAATAAAAAAAAATAAAAAAAGTATAAATATATTTTGCAATTATTTAATAAAACTGTATTATACTGACATGTTGCCAGTGTGAATACATACTGAATATTCAATATAAAAAAACCAAGTTGAGACTGAAGAGTTTTAGATAAGTGTATATCAGTCCAGTTTTGCACTGAACAATGACTTACAAACTGTGTCTGTATCATCCTGTGATGAAATGCTAGATGTGGCAGTCAACTAATGGAGGCATTGTGGGAATTCCATGGAAACATTTATCTGGAAACTTATGACGACATGACTGTAAATCCACAGTACCAACCTGAGCACTAGTTGGTCAACTGTGAGGGACACATTCCTCATAATATCAGTGGTAATATTTTGATTGTTGTCAAATTCTACTCACTATTCTCTAAACAAATAACAAATACTAAGGAACCAGTTTACACTGTTTGTGTAACAGGAAGCCCATGTGTACATCATTTGCAAAAGCAAAACTTTTCTTTATGCACCACCTCAGGTCTATAACAAGCCAAAACTAACGAAAAAATTCTTTTAGCACCAACAATCCCAACTGTAAAGATGAATTTGACATATGAACTGTTAGGACCACAGTTGAACATTTTGATGTGTGTCAAAGAACTTACAACATTCACATACAAGGTACACAATACAAGCACAGAGCTTCTATGTCTACTGGACTAACAACAGATTCCCTGACAGCCTGCGAAATATTTGTATGGTGAGAGTGAGATATGGTGCAAAGGATAATTGACATGAGGGACTAGGTCACTGGCCTGCTCTGCTTGTCCTTGTTCAGATGGTCAGTGTGTGGTCAGGTCTCTTTGACCATCACAGACTCACCACTGCTGTATCTAGCAGTTCCATCCCTAACTATGATAGATGCACAACATAACCCTTCCTAACCAGCCATGTGGACATCTTATTGCTCTCTGAATCAATACAGTAACTGATACTGCAAGCCTGGACTGGTTATTGCACCATCAACTAAAACAACCTGATATAGAAGACACTGCAACATCTACAGACAGCACTTGTCAAAACAGAAATGTGAGCAAAATAATACAAAACCAACATCCACTTGGAATGCACATTTCTGTTCTATATGAGCTGGGAAAACTAACAAGTGAAAAAGATACTGAGCCAACTATTGAAAGTGAGATTAATGTTGGAGGAAAAGTCCAATGTGGTACAGTCCGTTGCCATAATAAATCTGGTCACACCAAAATGCACAGTAAAACGCTGACCAGGCAGAATCAGGGATTTGAATCATTAATCTGCAGATCCTGGCATGACTAAGGGACATGACTATTTACAATAAATTGGGACATCTCAAATGACTGGTTCCACACATTAAGAACCTATTTCATTTAGTTTTCATGCAAAACATAAACACGTTTTTTTTGTATTTTTGAAACTAAAACAAACATGTTACCAACATGCACCAATTAGTTACCCAAGAACCAATGTTTTCTTCAGCCTTACACAAGTCCATTCACAGGTCACATGTTCAAGAGTACAGTAAATATATTATACATCTATTATGGCAGATAGTGAGTACTATATAACACATGTGGACATTGACAACACAGTCGGACATGATGTTGATGGAATGATGGAGAGATCACAGCTAGGCATAACACTATAACAATATTAGCATTCTAAAAAATCACATAGCATATGTATAATGGAAATGAATGAATTAATAAATAATTGTATCACAGGTTCTAGGAAAGTACAGCAGCTATTCACCATCATGGAACTAAAAGACGCATCTTGAGGCCCTGGTGTGGGTGCCTCTCTGCAGTGTCACAACAGCATGTCACTAGGCATCAGGAGCATTACCTAAAAACTCTTTACTGAAGGAGCAAGATTTGAGAGAAAGATACTGACCCAAGATCTTAGAGATCAACTATGTAATTAAGTATCAGGCATGTAAAACATTATTTTCGACATGTAATCCATATTTCTAATAAGTCTAATGGATTATAGTCATTAAATATTGCCTTGTATTGAACAGTTTTGTGGAACTGCCAATAACAATTGTAATGGTTTATTCCTATTGAGCTAAGATAACCATTTATATTGACTTCTTCTGTTTCTGGCAAAAGTGGATGGAATTGTGAGGAATGACGAGGTTTAAGGGATCTATGGAAATACTTCCAGTTATCAGAGGTTCGACTTAACCAAATATGACGAATAAAGGAATACGCAGGGACCAATCTTTTACTTTCAGACAACTGAAAGTTCAGCACATCAACATTGGCACTTCAAAGTTTGACACAATGGTGTTTGACTGTATTCCAATATTCGGTGAAACAGATTCATGAAAGACCTCTGTCTCTGGAATGACTTTCTTTTGTAAATATTTGCAAACCTATTTGGATTTCATCCATACTATCTGAACTTCAACAGAAAAGTCGGCAAAAGCACCATTAACATTTTGACTTCATCTCTGACCTATCACAACATAGATAAAAATGACTTTTTGAAAATCTACTAACAATGCAACATAAAAGTGAGAACAAATGAACAAATAACATCTTTTCTGGCAAAGACATTCTTCCATAATCTTCATGTTATGAAAAGTACATCGCTTCACAACAGTAAAATATTTGAATGACATTGAATGTATAAACAAGATACATTTGTTAATGTTATTGGTGTCCCAAGCGTTCATATATTGTGGAAGTTCACACTTCTGACTCCTGTTCCACAAAGTAATCATGTGCTACGATAACTGAACACACCTCAACATCGGCTAACGCTGTCAGCATTAGAAACTGCCACTAGTCCTTAAGTCCCAACCAAAATTCACAACAGTTAGGGTATCGATAGGACTAGTAGAAATAACTTCAACTTGGAACTTGTGCCTATTCCTATCATCACTGGGGCAAATGACTAAGTCGTGTTTCTACCGCTGGAGGTATGTAGCTCTATGGTTGCTTTGTGGAATGGGATACAGTCATTTGAAATCATCATGGGGATTTCCTTGGTGTGACATTTCCACTTCCTGGAGTTTGCCAGGTCCCGGAGGAGTTGAGGAAAGCTAGGTAGACGGGACCATTGCTGCCACAGGAGATGTCACTCATCTGGGAGGCAGTGTCTGGAGACTGGCTCCGGTCAAGGTCATTAGAGTTGAAGTTGTAGTCTTTTGTTGGATTGATGTTCTTCAGTGTTCCATCAGTATATGCTCCGGAGGACAGTATGGCCTGAGCACGAGACTGGGAGCGGGATATCAGTTCGTTGATCTCTTCACTGCGACTCTTGTACTTCCTGTAATAGAAGGAAGTGCATCAACAAGATGCTGTTTCACTGGTCCACTAATCATGATGAGGACTGGTAGGGGCATCACAATAACTGTATGTACAAAGAACTTGGGTGAAGGTGACCTCACACAGATATAACAGTGATTGCAGTCAAAGGATTTTACAAATGTAATACAGATAGATTACGAGTTCTAAATCTCTGAGCCTCCATTTAATCCATTATAATCTCAGCCCATTTAGTTTTTTTTGGAAATTGGAGACAATCATCAAAGTTGAATACCAAGCAAATGAACTTGCAGATACTTGTCATTACCAATCTTGCTGTGTAACCTTTGTGCTGTCTGGGATATATTTGAAACTTTTTCTACATATACAAAATATAATTCCGCCCCTCATGTCTTTGATGCCATGAACAAACTTAATCATTTCTGGCAACTCTAAAATGACATCTGCATGGAGCGTCATTACAAAGTAATCCCACCAGCTGTTGCCTAAATGAGAAACTGGCAAGAGGAGGAGACCGAGACATCATGCAACTACTTACTTTTCCGGGGAGGTACTCTTGCGTCTCATTGAAAACATTTGGTCCCTCAGCCTGCTGTTGTCATCCTCCTGAGACTTGAGTGAGCTCCTTGTGATCTGATGAAGAGCTCGCTCAGTCTTCAGCTCAGACTCCAGGGTGGCGACTTGCTTCTTGAAGCTGTTGGCCAGCTTGATCTCCCGGTCCCGAGCCTCCTTGTCGCTGCATTTCTGGGACTCCATGTGCTGATGCATCTGCCGACTTAGGTCCTGGATCACTCGGTTCATCTCCTGCCTGCAGAGGGAACATTTCATAAAGAAGGCATCTATAATATAGCATCAGAACTAGTCTTTCAGGATCACACTCAACAAAGCGATCTCAGCTACAAGCGTCATTTCACCCATACTTCAATGTATGGAGTTAGAATTATTGTCACTTGGATGGCCATAAAATATCATAGATTCACTAGTTCTTGGGCAATGGCTTTTGGAGAATTATCTGTTAGCACATATTTTCTCACTCACAAAACAATTTAAAGACTAACTGAATCAGAATTTACAACCTGTTTCTGTAAAGCAGAAATAAAACTTCTGACTCGTCGAGAATGTAGTCTTTTAAGTACTCTGTTTTGAAACCTCTCTCTCACAAGACCCAAACCCAATCTTTACTGATAACTGATACCTCTCTTTGTCAAGATCTGCAGAACCTTTACTAGATTTGGGCTTCAGCCTAGGGGCTTAAGTTTATGACACCCATACATACATCAATATTATTACCACTGTATGTCAACTTCCTGCCCTATTTGTTCCATGTGAGGACCACAACTACACCACTTAAGCCCATGAGTGACTGCCCTTCCTGTTCTCCAACATCAGCTTTATGAGACTGAAGCCACGTACCACATGCCCTTGCTCTCGCTGCTGCTTCCTTCTTCGGCCTTCCTGGCCAGGAATGTGCGGAGTCTCCTGAGCTCCTCCTCCTGCTCGCTGAACCTGCTGTTGAGATCTGACTGCATCTGTTCCTCTATGCGGATAGAGTCCATGGCCTGCTTCAGTTGGGAGGAGTTCTCCCGCACCTGGTCCTCCAGAGACAGGATCTCCTCCTGCAGCTGCAACACACAAGGGGACACATGCTATAGATGATATCTATCTGGTATCTCCTCCTGCAGCTGCATCACACAAGGGGACACACATGCTGCATGGATAATATCTATCTTGTATCTCCTTCTGCAGCTGCATCACACAGGGGGACACACATACTGCATAGGAGATATCTATCTGGTATCTCCTCCTGCAGCTGCATCACACAGGGGGACACACATACTGCATAGGAGATATCTATCTGGTATCTCCTTCTGCAGCTGCATCACACAGGGGGACACACATACTGCATAGGAGATATCTATCTGGTATCTCCTCCTGCAGCTGCATTACACAAGGAGACACACATGCTGCATGGATGATATCTATCTGGTATCTCCTCTTGCAGCTGCATCACACAAGGGGACACACATACTGCATGGATGATATTTATCTGGTATCTCCTCCTGCAGCTGCATTACACAAGGGGACACACATACTGCATGGATGATATTTATCTGGTATCTCCTCCTGCAGCTGCATCACACAAGGGGACACACATACTGCATGGATGATATCTATCTGGTATCTCCTTCTGCAGCTGCATCACACAGGGGGACACACATGCTGCATGGATGATATCTATCTGGTATCTCCTTCTGCAGCTGCATCACACAGGGGGACACACATGCTGCATGGATGATATCTATCTGGTATCTTCTTCTGCAGCTGCATCACACAGGGGGACACACATACTGCATAGTCGATATCTATATGGTATCTACTCCTTCAGATGCATCACACAAGGGGACACACATGCTGCATAGGAGATATCTATCTTGTATCTTCTTCTGCAGCTGCATCACACAGGGGGACACACTTACTGCATAGTCGATATCTATATGGTATCTACTCCTTCAGATGCATCACACAAAGGGACACACATGCTGCATAGATGATATCTATCTGGTATCTCCTTCTGCAGCTGCATCACACAAGGGGACACACATACTGCATAGGAGATATCTATCTGGTATCTCCTCCTGTAGATGCCACGCCCAGGGGGGGACACATGCTGCATAGGAGATACCTATCTTGTATCTTCTTCTGCAGCTGCATCACACAGGGGGACACACATACTGCATAGTGGATATCTATATGGTATCTACTCCTTCAGATGCATCACACAAGGGGACACACATGCTGCATAGGGGATTTATGTCTAGTATCTCCTCCTGCAGATCCCAAACACAGGGGGACACTTATGATACACAGGATATATATCCTGTTTCTCATCTTAAAGAACAATGTCTAACAGTAAGGACACATTGGGTTTTAGCAGGATGTAAAAGACTTAATCTATGCAAAAGAAAACAGATGTGGTCCAAGGTATCACTGATAGCATCTTTTTGGAATATGTTAACCGCACATGGACAAAATCTGATTTTGGTAGAAAACGTATATGAAGAGTATTCTGTTTACTATGAACTAAGCCTGGTATGACAGTGTGCATGTTGTTTCTTATCTTGAATATCACATTCATGCCCATATCATTCCATACTGTTGTAAATAAAAGAGACAAAACCCTTTCTTTACTCATAAGAAATCTCTGCTTAAAGCAGAGTCGATTGTACAACTTGTGCCAAATTCAATCTTACAATATTTTATGCACCAGTATTGCAAATACTATATAAAAAATACACACAAATACTCTATTAATGAATAATTAAGTAGATATCTTCAAAAGACAAGCCAGCAGTAAGTGACTTACCCGAAGGTTCTCCTTGTTCTTAATGGCGATCTGTTCCCGGGCCTGCTCCAGGTGCACGGACAGCTGCTGGGCCTCCTGGGACAGCTTTGCCTTCTCCGTCTCACTTGTCTCTCTGCAACATTCCACGCAACTTTGCAGGGAGCATTCATTGTGGAGGGAGCCCTTCCATTACCAGGATGTTTTGTTTATTCTAATGAACTAAAGCTAATGGGAAGCTTGCCAATTAGAAGGTATGGATCAAATGATTCATATCATAATGCTCTAAAGACAGGACCACACATAATGAACTATGGACCTAGGACTGTTGTACTGGCTGCAACTGAAGCAAAAGCAGATTGCATCTCAACAGATGCTTGACATTAGTTTTATCCGAGGTAAGAGTAGATTTGTGTCCCCAGTTGCCATTACAGTATCATACTTTATGTATAGGGTAAAACACGCCTCTTAGGTTTTGTTTAAAAATGTAAAACCGCAAGCAAGGGAAAAAGCCTTCCAGAGCTCAAGGTTTTACATTTTCAACCAAAACCTTGGAGGCCGTTTTATCCAATTTTATGAACCGTCTAAAAGCAAGAAATACCATATAAAATAAGAAAACATTGAGATACCTTATAGTGAAACAATACGGCGTGTCGCGGTATAAAAGGAATTCAACCTGCATCGTGGACCAGCTGGAGTCATGACATGTAAAACTGAACAACTTCTCATCACCTGCCCCAGTGGGAAAACAGCGGGTTACGAAGCTTAACACAATGTGAGGTTGCAGGTTCGATTCACATCATGGCATTTTCATGCCAAAAACAATATGACTTGTAACCAATCAAAACTCAATATTGTGTTCGTGTGAAGAGGCCAGTTTGTAATACATCAGTTGTGAAACCTAGGTATTACAACTGAAATGTAAAACCTCAAAGCAGGTTTCGAAGTTTCCCATTTCAAAACTTAGGTTTGGAAGAGAACTGCTTCAAAACCTTGGTTTGGAATATGCACTGGTTACTAGGTTTACCAAGGTTGACAGGAACCTAAAGCGATATAGGGTAGCACGGTGATAGGTTGATAATGGAGGAGAAAGGTTAAACAAGCATTAACATCATTACTGGGTTGTTCCTTCATGAAGCACTTCAACTCAAAGAGATTTCCATTAGAGAGTAGTCTACATCTACCCTTGCATAGCTGCCAACTTTCCCAAATTACAATTAGTATTTTGTTAAGGTCTTCTGGTCTGGACACAAAAGTCTGATGATATATATGAATCATATACTGGCCCCTGTTCCACAAAGCAATCATAGCACTAAAGTTAACTCAAATACTTTAACACTGACTAATGACAGGCCTCAGTACAATACAGCCATGTGATTTCTAAACTCTGATAATTTTATTGCTTAGTTTCTATATTAACTACAGCAACTTCCGATGTTCTGAGTGTTACAAATAGACCAGGAGTCCGGAAACGGTCATATGCGCTGGACATGTCCGATTGGGAATCTCAAATGTCCGATTTAAAATACTGCTTACCGGACATTTAAATTTTTCTGTCCAGACATTTTAAAAAACAAACAATGCTACCTTCAGGGTCCAAATAATTGATGAGCGTTATCGTATCCCTTCAACGACTTCAGATGAATAACAGGCATAACAAACTTGGTCAATAAAAGTATGAAATTTGATATAAAACATCACTAGACATGATGATTTTACCATTTAAAATGTATTTCCTGCTCTCAAAGGCATTGTTTTATATGCAGAGATTAAGATTACCGTGTGTATTTTCTCGTAAACTAAGCCGGAAATAGCAATCAGCTGTGCACGCGTTTCCTCCCAATCTACTGGTGATTCAGTGAAAACGTACCCAGTGATACCACTTTAAAGAATTTTGATGCAATGGTAGGAAGAAATTGTATCTGAAATTATAATTTTATCAGGAAGAATATATTCCAATATCATGTTATTTTAGTTGCAGCTTCCACCATATATACTTAAAATTATAAGAACCATAAGCGTAGCACTTTGGTACATATGGTATGCAGGATATTTTTTGACGTATGAAACGATTTTGACCAGTCACCGTAGGAACTTCTCGCGCTACATGTATTTTGATTACGAAAACGTTATGTTGACATTTAATAGTCAAACTGCCTCAAATATGACTTTTAGCGAGTCATGGTACTGCATTTATGATATGTGTATCCATTCTCTTGCAACTAAAGTTCGTTTCAAGGCGTCAATAGCGGTAATCTGACTGTGGTTGCTGTAAATAACGGTGTTGTGCGATCTACCGATTACTTTGCATACGATTTCGCCGAAATTATTGTAAACATTATTATTATTATTGAATGAAATATTGAATAATATTGATCAAATATATTGCAAACTCTAGTCCAGATAAAAAGTGAACAATTCCTTTTATTACCAGATATTATATAATGATAGGATTAAATTGCGTTCTTCAGTTCGGATTTGTTGACTTGTATTTCCGTTGTTACATGACCGCGGTGATCAGCTGATAATGTTTTCTGAGATGGGGGAAAACATTGTGTCATTGGAAAACTTGAGTTTACTAAAAATGTTAGTAAATTTTGGGAGCCATGCTTTACCATGCTATAACCGAAGCGCTCAATAACGAGGGAACACTGTACGTAACAACTTGTAATGTGTGTGAAAAGTCGTACGAAAATACGCTATTTGAAGGGGGCGAGGCCTAAATGCAAATGTCCGATTGGGATTTTAAATTTTCCGGACCCCTGGAATGGACAGATGCAACACTATAAACAGACTTCATACCAGTTGATAAACAAGACATGTTCAAAGCAAATGGTGTAAAGCTGTTTACCGATGTCTATGAAAATGTAGTCCTTGTGATTATTTTCTGCATATATTCGTATGAATTAAGGAAGAAATCATGTTTTCGTATTTTAGTTGCAAATCTGTAACAAATCCGAAAAAATATAGGACATTTGGCAGCTATGTTTGTGGCATACCATGGATATCGACAAGAAATCCAGTCAACTTGACATAATGAACTCACAGTGAGTGAATGAGTTGGGTTTAACGGCTCTTTGAACATTATTCCTGTCATATCACAGTGTGTCAGCTTAATGTGGGAAGAAAGCCCAAAGTGATGCAGGTCTTAGACATTTACCACTAAGGTAAAACAAACCCGCGAGCACGGGTATGGTGCTGACAAACCTAGAAACATAATCGGGGCGAAATGGGATTTGAACCCATAATGAACTCACAGGTGTTGTTTGATCTCCAGGTTGGCCTTGCGGTACTTGCCTCCAAGCTGTTGTTTCTGTGTGTCAAGGAGACGCTGGAGCTTGCCAACCTCACTCTGCCAACAACACATTCACATCAACAGTCCCAGATGCAAACACAAAATCTAAAATGCTGTGAACTAGGTTGTTGGGAGGATGGGTTAGACAGCTGTATTGCGTCTCGTAGTCACTCCATAAAAGGACCTTTATCAGGGCAAATCTAGGATTTACACCTACAATTAGCAAATCCTGTCGAGACTAAGAGGTGTAATTCAGCACACCATATTGCAAATAGAAATGTTGAAAATATATATAAATATGAAACAGTTTCTTTTCAATAAAAAGTCAAAGGATTTTTGCAGTAACAAATTTTTTTAACAGGCTGATGGAAAAAATTAAAGCTCCTCAAAAGTTAAACCGCATTTATAATTTATTATTGTTCCTACCTGTAGTATGTCAACCTGCTCCTGCTTAGCTTTAGCAGCTGACTGGTTGCCATGGAGACCCGCCTCCAGCTCCTGCACCTGCCCAGTCAAGGTCATCACTCTTTCCCGCTCCATCTGCAGCTCCGACTCCACTCTGGCCAGTCGTGCCAGCTGCTCAGCTGTCTTCTCTTCCAGGCTATGCTGCAGCAAGAACCAAGCATGTGTACAGACGGGACACACATTCTATACTCAAAGGCAATACCATGACCATTTGTTACTATTCAATGTTTAATGTAATATTTTAGAAACTCCACTATTTTTCTTTGCTGTTTATCAATTAAGCCAAAGATGGTCCTCACAGGATTTCTAAGGATTATTCATGTCTTAACTATATTACTTATTGACTATATTATTTATTATGAGAAAGTCCACCTTCTTCTTCTTTGTGTTCTCGAGATGGGATTTCTGTGATTCCGACCTCTGCTCCAGGAGTTTTCTGTTCATGACTTCCTCTGCCACTTGACCTTTAACCTCCTCAAATGACCTCTCCAAGCTCTTCTTGTCTGCATCAAGTTCATCTCGTTTCTCGGCAACATCTCTCAAGGACATCTCAACAGAACGATGATTTGCCTCCGCCTGCGACAGAATTTCAGAGTAGCTTGCCCATATGCACATACATGTACCAAGCACAAAGATCTAAACACCAAGTCATAGGTATGCACAAATCATTAACAAAAAAGGAATGAGTCGAAGGTAAGCTATTTCTTGAATTTTTCCGTTTACAGATTTGACTGATCACAACCAAATGTACAGAGTTATGTCTCTTTGGCAGCCCATCACGGCAGATACTGCACATGGCAATCTATCGCAACACAATTTTTACTGGCAACAATCCAGTGTATTATTCTGTACTGTTTCAATTCATCTACTGTAGTACAAGATTACTTGACAGTCAATTTACGTGCTTCGAACATGTATTGCATACATGGATACAAAACCTTCCTAATCATTCAAAAACATGACAACCCACTAACAACAGCATGTGTTTTGAAACGACTCTATGGAGTTAATTGACATTGAAGATTATGGAACTATTTGCTGTGTACATTGTCATACACCCACAACCTTTGAGAGGACTCACTTAAACCTTAGGGTTAGTAACAAGGCACTGGTTATTGTTCAATGTGGCAATATTGCAGCTCTATGATGTTGGCCTGTACATACTCCAGTCTGGACCAGACAAACCAGTGATTCATAATGTGATCAACATTCCACTCTGCCAGGGTACCATGACACATTATCAACAAAGTCTCCAATTCACATTAGTCACCTCTTATGATAAGCTTGCTTGGGAGCTATTCTTACCCGGAATCCACACGGCGAAACAAAAGTTTGACCTGTAAGTATTTCATGGTATGTCAGTTTAAGGAGTGACGCAGGTCATAGACAGTTCCTGAAACTACTGACCACAACTATGGTGCTGTATCTGCTATTCAAACAAAAGATCCTGACAAGACTACGGTATGCTACTCTGAACAGTACCGGTAGATTATAAGGCGACAGTGTTCCCAACATCCCTTGAACAGCTGCATCACAGCCATACCCACAGCACACACCATACAACCACGATACATCTCTGACAATTGTCCAAGGATGGTAGCTCACCTGGTTGAGGGCCTCCCTGAGATGAGCCAACTCGCCTTCATGCTGCGTCTTGAGTTCACTGATGGTGTGTTTGAGGTGCAGCACCTGGCCGGCGGTGGAGTCGGTGTGAGTCCGCAGCTGCTCTTGGGCACTGAGGTAGTTCATCTGCGTCTTGGCCAGACTCTCCTGCAGTTAACACAGTGGACAAGTCAACATAGAGGACAACAGTTACATGCAAAGCATATGCAGAACTACATTTCTAGGAGCTAAGAGTCTCCAGCATCTAGTCATATAGCAATGTCAATTTGCACTGTGTTTACACAAAATCCTCCTGGTTTCCTGTGTCCTGGTAAACAAGACGCAGAAATTAACCAGTTTGTGTTTAACTTAACTTTCGTGTGGTTAATTGATGCTTGTTCTAATCATATAATGCAATCAGATCTATCATTTTGTTTCATGATAGCCACTTAGGTAACATTAGCCTGAGTAGTTACGAAGCTGTGAAATTGCTAAACTATGTAAATATTAGTCTCTTTAAATCTACACAGATATATAATATGAACACATGGGTAGACGTATCATGTGTAATATCGTCAGGGTAGGTTTGTGATGCAAGACACATCAGTAGATCATGGCCTCATCCCACTACTAACCTGTAGCTGAGAGTGGGTCTCCTTCATTCCCAAGATCTCAGTTCTATTGGCCTCCAGCAGATACTTGGTCTCCTCAGCAGCTGACTCCATCTTCTCAACCTTCACCTCTAAAGACTTTTTCTCTCTGAAGGTCAAGGGCAAAAGTTCACATTATCCATTTTATAAATGAGAGCCAAATGTATCATAGACCTTGAAAATCAAGTTATTACATGTATGTTGGAGCTATGAAGCTTGAAAAGTACTCACCGAGTGACATCTTCCAGTTGTGTCAGAGTCCGACCGAAGGCGTTGAGTTGCACATCCTTCAGTCTCAGCTTCTCATTCAGCTCACTGATCTCCTCCCTAGGATTAAACATGGAATATTACCAATAACGATTAAAAGATGGAGTGTCTGAACTTCAGATGATTGGGCATTTCCATAAGTCTCAAAGCTGTTTAAACAGTTGAAGAAATAAGTCACATGCCAAATATTTTTTAACTTCAACGTAAGACTTCAGTCTACACAAACACAATTCCTATTAACCCTTAGATGGTGTGTCATGACTATTGTCATGCAGGAAGCAGGGGTGCATCCATTTCCATTTGATTTAAAGTCAAAACAAAGGACATATTCGGATTATCAGAATCACATACTTCACTGTGATATGAAACTACACAATCCTGATGGATTTTTCACCAACATATGAAAAGGAGGCTGTTTTGCAGTGATAGAAATTGGTACTAGTCCCATAATCTTTACCAAACTGCTCAACAGTCAGTTCAGGTATCCTAAGGACTAGTTGAAATTTGCCATTACTAAGGAGTTTGCTATATGTTATCATTATGAGGACTAGTGGACTAAAAATGTAAGTTTCTGTCGCTGGATTTTGCATCAGTGCATCAAGTACAGGTCATGCCGAAAACCATAAGACTGGTGTTCTTGCAAACAAAAAAATTAAAAAAGAGGATCAACTATGACATTATGCTGAAGTTTGCATATATTGAGTCAAACTATTCACTAGATCAAGAGTGCAAGAGGATGAGTGTATATTCCTACTTGTAAGTCTTCAGATCTCTTTCTATGGATTCCCGTTCCTGGTCCATTCTGGTCCGCTGCAGTGTTGCATCTCTCTTCACCGCCTCTAGCTTCCGCTCACACTCATCCTTCACGTCACACATCTTCTTCTCCTTCTCCCCCAGCTGCCGACACACATCCTGGTAGTCTGGGAGGCAGGAATGCAGGGCATTAAGGGTGTGATGGTTAATACATGCAGGATATTAGGGGTGTCATGATTACCGGTACTCAATGCAGGGTATTAGGTGAGTCATGGTAATGAATTCAGGGTATTAGGATTGTCATGGCAATGAATTCAGGGTAATAGGATTGTCAAGGTAATGAATTCAGGGTATAAGGGGTGTCATTGTAATCAATGCATGACATTAGGAGTGTCATGGTAATAAATGCATGACATTAGGATTGTAATGGTAACCAATGCAGGGAATAAGGATTGTAACGATAATCAATGCAGGGTATTAGGATTGTCACGATAATCAATGCAGGGCATAAGGGGTGTCATGGCAATCAATGCAGGGCATAAGGATTGTCACGGTAATCAATGCAGGGTATTAGGATTATCACGGTAATCAATGCCGGACATAAGGATTATCACGGTAACCAATGCAGGTTATTAGAATTGTCACGGTAATCAATGCAGGGTATTAGGGGTGTCATGGTAATCAATGCAGGACATTAGGAGTGTCATAGTAATCAATGCAGGACATTAGGATTGTTATGGTAATCAATGCAGGGTATTAGGAGTGTCATAGTAATCAGGGGTATAAGGGGTGTCATGGCAATCAATGCAGGGCATAAGGATTGTCACAGTAATCGATGCAGGGTATTAGGGGTGTCATGGTAATCAATGCAGGACATAAGGATTGTTATGGTAATGAAGGAAGGGCATTAGGATTGCCATGGCAATCAAAGCAGGGTAAAAGGATTGTCACGATAATCAATGCAGGGTATCAGGATTGTCATGGTAATCAATGCCGGGTATTAGGATTATCACGGTAACCAATGCAGGGTATTAGGATTGTCATGGTTATCAATGCAGGACATAAGGAGTGTCATGGTTATCAATGCAGGGTATAAGGATTGTCATGGTAATGAATTCAGAATTTTAGGGGAGTCATGGTAATGAATGCAGGGTATTATGTGAGTGAGTGAGTTGGGTTATTTAACGCTGCTTTTAACAGTATTCCAGTTATATCAAGGCGTGTCAGCTTAAGGTGGGAGGAAAGCCTGAAGTGATGCAGGTCTCAGACGTGTACCGCTTTGGTGAAACCCATGAAATGAGGTATGGTGCTGAAAAACCTACAAACATAATCGGGGTGAACCATTGTTCAAACCCACAATCACAGGTTTCTAGTGTGTCCAAGGGACGCAACTCTGCACAGCGAATTGTGTTGCCTTAGACGACTGATGCTGGATCCATGACCACCGGACCCTGTGAGTTGATGTAGCCTTTTACGGCAAGCATGGGTTGCTGAAGATCTATTCTAACCCAGGTCTCACAGTGTGTAAGGAGAAACTAACCATGGTTACCACGTATGCAGAGCCATACTTCTACAGATTGTTGTGTGGCAAAAAGAGGTCACGTGGTACATGTATATAGAATCCAGTTTCTGCCCTACCCACAGTCAGGTATGTTGATAGAGAGCTATCAAACATGTGTCTGACTCACTATAATTACAAAGGTCCTTTCTTACCCTGGAAGATTGCTGTCTTCTCCTTCTTGAGCTGCTCCAGATTGTCTCTGTGAGCCAGGTTCTGGCCGCGCTGGCTGTCGTGGTCTGCCTGGAGTGAGTTCAACTGTTCCTGCAGGCTCCTCTCCGATGCTTCACATGACGAAACTTCCTCCTGTGCAACACAATCAGTTCACAGCGTGTTAGCCTAATGTGGGAGGAAAGCCTGAAGTGATGCAGGTCTCAGATGCATACTGCTATGATGCTGACAAACTAGAACCATAATCAGGGCGAACCAGGATTCGAACCAACGGTCATAACTTTCTGGCATACCCAAGGAACACAACTCCCCACAGCGAAATGCGGCATCTTAGATGACTGGGCCACCCGTGCCTTCTAACACTGAGTGACTGTGAACAGTTAATCGTTGGTTTGAATTGAAGATCGGTATATCACAGCTATTTTTAGACATCTCGTAATAGTTGCATCTGAAGATGACAAACCAGTGGCTGGTGGCACAATCCAGTTATCAGGTAGTGATGACACTGTCTGTCCAGCCATACACCGAATCTACCCCTTCCTCATTTCAGTTGGCAATTACAACAAGACGACTTGGAATCCCCAAACATCTCAACAAAAACAGACCTGGTTTTCAGGTTCTTGAAAAGTTAAAGACTGTTCCTCAAAGTTTCAACTGTCAGAAGTCTACATCAAAGAACTGGATCATATCAGTAATAATATTACTTTGTGGAACAGGGCCTGGTCGAGGTAGAAAGTTTTGATAGAAAATCAAAGAAAAGCCTTCACTGGTAAAGTAAATTACAAGTCACTCTACGCCAAGTCTCTTTGAAAAGCTGATATGGAAAAAAAACATTGGTTCATTCAAAGTTAAGCATCTTTACATTTTCTGGGGTAAACAAAGGGGGGTCCAGGAGTCCTTGAACGTTGCTCTTATATTTATTTTATCTTGGGACCCCCTAAAACGTTTGACATTAAGGCTATAACAAGGACCTCAAGGTTAATTCCAAACATGGTCTGTGAACGTACGAATACATCGTCATGTGTAGATATGTGCAGCTTTGTTTGACACAACATCTTTACTAACCTTGAGTTGCTCACACTGCTTTCTCTCAGCGTCCAGGTTATTGAGAAGCATGTTCTGCTCACGTTGCAGCGTATCTAACTTATGTTGGGTGGACACAAGTTCCTCCTTCTTCTTGGCATAGTTCCCCCGCTCACCAGCCAGCTGGGGGAAATATCCACAAAACACTTAAAGTCAATTGTAAGTACTTTAAGTCAAAACAAGTTCTACATTCTTAAGTTCATCAGCAAAATATCAATATCAATAAATCATTAAAATGAGTTTTGTTGAAACCTAAAACATATGCTACCACGTATACAGGCACACACATCATCACAGCATTGATATTCGAAGGTATGTATGACAGGTACAATTGGTCTTTTCCCGTTCACACAGATCCTAGGATGTATGTATTTGCCCACCGATGCCTGCTCCATCTCCAGTCTGTTCTCCAGCGAGTGACTGATTGACGTCAGTTTCTGGACCTCCTCCTTCAGCTGGTCGACCTTCACCTTCAGCTGTTGGTTCTCCGTGTCAAGGTAGGTGTTTTCCCGCTTGGCCTGGCGTAAATCTGTCTCCAGACTGGCGATGTGGCCCTGTCTCTCGTTCAGCTCCTGCACAGTGTCACGCTGACTCGACTCGGACTTCTCCATCTAGATAAGAAATGTGTGAAGATGTACATATTTAAAAATATCAGACCGTTTTTTTTATAATAGAAATGGAAATTGTTTGCTGGCTAGATAATACGTTATCAGAAACGTACTTATTAGGGAACTTTACAGCCTCATTACAGGAAGCGAAGGAGTGAGTGAGTGCCTTGTACTTTTTCACAACTTCTGACAACTCAGCCTAAAAACTCTGAGTGGGGACAGTTGGGTAGCCCAATGGTTAAAACGTTTGCTCATCATGCCAATGACCCGGGTTATATTCTTGACATAAGTACAATGTGTGAAACCCATTCCTGGTGTCACCTGCTGTGATATTGCTGGAATATAGCTAAAAGCGGAGTAAAACCATACTCACTCACTCCTATGAGTGAAGCATTTGTACCCAATCTTGACCTACTTTTTTGATGACTTCTGACACCTCAGCCTACCTCCTGTGGGTGAAGCATTTGTACCCAATCTTGACCTACCTTCTTAATGACTTCTGACACCTCAGCCTTCCTCCTGCGGACGAAGTCTCTTTCCCGCTCGATGTCCCGAGTCAGTTCTTTGTTCTCATGCTGCAGGGTCGACTTCTCCCGGGCCATGTATGTGTTGAGCTCCACTGTTGCTGTCTTTTCTTTCATCTACAATATCAGAAATACAATACATTTACCACTTTGGTGAACCCATGAGCACAGGCAGAGATGCAGACTGCTTCATTCTTGTGTCTCTGTACAGGATCTACCATATTCTGGGCTAGTTATACTTTCAGGGTGAGGCTGATGATCTAACTGTTTCATCAATCATAATGTTCGTGGTCATGCCATTGTAAAGTCTACCAAAGATTGGAAATATAACATACATCTGATTGTCCCACCATGGATCTGAGTCCTACATTAATGGTCAGAGTCTGCTGTGTTTAACAACCCAAAGTAATTCAATTATATCACAACATGACAGTTAATCACAACCAGACAGAATTGAACCCACAATCATGGGATGATGACAAGGTTAAGGGATGAAGATACATAGCAACTTATTAAGCTTGTTGTGTACCTTCTGGAGGAGCTGGCTGCTGAGGGAGCGGACGTCCTCTTGGTTGTATTGGTTCTCCTGGCGGAGTAGCTCAACACGATGCTGCAGGAAGCCTGTCTCCATCTGCTGACGACTACAAACACATCAGAGTCAGAACATTATTGTCGAACACCAGAACTAGTAAAATTCTAGATCTTTTTTACATTTGTATTCTCATCCTGCATGAATCTATGAAAACTGAGGCAACTGCAAAGAAGCTCATGTTATTTACCTGATCTTATCATTGAGGGACATGGATTCCTTCTCCCTTCCTCCCACAAGCAGACGAAGAGACATCAGTTCTGACAGCATCTGTTCACAGCAATCAAAAGATTCACTTATAAATCTATGACGAACATTAACAGCATCAGTAAGCCTCAGGCTGTGTCCACTCTTTGCCAAAGAGTGTTATGGACAGTGACAAAAATGCCATTTAATGTTCAACAGTATTTCAACAGAAATGTACCTGTTTGTCCTGTGCTGTCTGTGGCTCAGGGTAGGCTGTGTTGAAGTTGTCATGCTGCTTGCTGGCCTCCATCTGGAACTTGTGCACCACCTCCTGCAGCCGGCTCTCTAGCTTGACCAGGTCCTCCTCTGCCTGACCCTTCTCATCCAGCAGACTATTCCTCTCCTCACTCAGCGCCTACCACAGTCATATAGAGTAAGGGTGAACCGCTTTATTTCAATTAGGATGACATTTTGGAGTAGGTTCTAACACTGTTATCGCCATTATCAAGCAAGTGTCAAATCACAGTTAATCTTAATAAACTATCTCATCTTACTAATGTTACTTTAAAACAACAGATTGAAATTTTAAGTATCATATAACATGTGAACTTGTAATTCAGGTATTTTGGCCAGAGGCTGATTTATGAACACGACTGAGAGAGAGTGACACAGACCTGGAGCTGCTGATGCAGCTGCACCTTCTCCGCTGACATCTGGCAGGATGTGGTCCTCTCCCTCTCCAGGTCCTCCCTCGCACGAGCCATCTCCGTCCTCTCCCCAGACAGCTCCTCCTCCTTACACTGCAGGACTGAGGCTGCATCCTGCAGGAACAGGTCAACACCCGGGATACTCAGATGTGGGAGCAATCATCATGCCATAATCTCATAATACCGACCAATTTGCTTGGTTATTCAGCATGAACATATGACATAGAAAATGAATTTGGTTTCTATCTATCAATAAACGACACAGTTTGAATTTAGAAACCAGTCCAAGATGCGAGGGATCTTGACCACCTTTATTAGGGGTTCAGATTAGTTCATTTTCATGAGTTTGACTGGTTATCTTCTGAAAGTCCTAAAGATCTTGTTGTTTTAATTTGGCAATGGCGTAAAAAATGTCCAAATACAATTTTCTAAAATAAAAAAAAATCCAAATGGAATTTGACTCCGGCATTTCAGTACTTTAAACTGACCAAATTGGTTGACACTAATCCATATTATTAGTTATTATCACGGAAACTGAAAACAAAAATCACAGGATGGCAGAAGTCAGATACTTAGCAACTGCAAGGGCTCTATGGCCTGTTGATCTTATGACCGCAATGTCAATAACTCAAATAGAGAAGGCAACATGTGTCAAAATAAGGGAACATCTTCTCAGAGAACGACATCCTTCTCTGTATTTCAAAGTGAATGTGGATGTATGATACATGCACAAGGAAAGCCACGTACCACCAGCTGTCCACGGACTTGATTCAGCTCATTCTCCAGTTCCTGTACTCGGACCTCCATGGCAGATCCAGCTTCTGGTGTAACCACATCGGCATCGGGATCCCGGGGCTGGCGTGCATGATGCAGCTCTCTCTCCACCGCCTCCCGCCGACTCTGCTCCTTGCTCAGCTCGAGCTGAATCATGTTGAACTGTGGGCACATCACAAATTCAACTCATGGACATGTTTACTTGTAGAGAATGACCCATTGACAGACTGACAACATGGCATAAATTATGATATATATTTATGTAGTGGAGTCTTGTGATAAATAAGTTGAGAAATATTCATGCAATAATTCTTTTATTGTTTCATGTAGCATTTGGGTAAAATGTGACAGTGAGTCAGGAATAAAAAAAGGTTGAACTAAGTGACGACTTTATCTGTTAATCTTCTGTTCTTTTTTTCAATTATCATCGTGACTTAGGATACAGGAACTGTTTTAATCATTTAAATCCTCTATAAATCAGCAATATTTATAAGGTTAAAGGATTTGCCTTGTGATACTAGGTTTAACATAATACAAATGAACAAAATCATCAGAAAAGATATATTCATGATATTGGCAGTATGGAAATGAGACACCCAAGTTACTCATCTTACAATGCAGTCATCAGGCAGGATGTCAAATAATACATCAGAGATATATTTTTGGACCATTTACATCAGAATTTAAAAATATTAATACAATAACATCTATGCCTCCATACCATTTATGAGGTTGCCCATGTCAGTTCCTACCTCTGCCCTGGATTGGTTCAGGGAGTTGGTGGCAGCATCAAGCGAGTACTTCACCAGCTGGAACTGCTGGAGCTGCTCCTCCTCCTTCCCACGCACCGTCTCCAGCATCTGCCCTCGCTGCATCACCTGCTGCTCCAGGCTCTCCACCTGCAACACCACACTGTCTCATAAAAACATCCGTACCTCATACAACAGTATCTCATACAGCTTCCATACCTCATACAACAGTGTCTCATACTGCTTCCATACCTCATACTACAGTGTCTCATACAGCTTCCCTACCTCGTATAACATTGTCTCATACTGCTTTCATACCTCATACTACAGTGTCCCATACAGCTTCCATACCTCGTACAACAGTGTCTCATACAGCTTCCCTACCTCGTACAACAGTGTCTCATACAGCTTCCATACCTCATACAACAGTGTCTCATATAGCTTCTATACCTCATACAACAGTGTCTCATACAGCTTCCCTACCTCGTACAACAGTGTCTCATACTGCTTCCATACCTCATACAACAGTGTCTCATATAGCTTCTATACCTCATACTAGTGTCTCATACAGCTTCCCTACCTCGTACAACAGTGTCTCATACTGCTTCCATACCTCATACAACAGTGTCTCATACAGCTTCCATACCTCGTACAACAGTGTCCCAAACAGCTTCCCTACCTCGTACAACAGTGTCTCATACAGCTTCCCTACCTCGTACAACATTGTCTCATACTGCTTCCATACCTCATACTACAGTGTCTCATGCAGCTTCCCTACCTCGCACAACATTGTCTCATGCTGCTTCCATACCTCATACTACAGTGTCTCATACAGGTTCTCTACCTCATACAACATTGTCTCATGCTGCTTCCATACCTCATACTACAGTGTCTCATACAGCTTCCCTACCTCATACAACATTGTCTCATGCTGCTTCCATACCTCATACTACAGTGTCTCATGCAGCTTCCCTACCTCGCACAACATTGTCTCATGCTGCTTCCATACCTCATACTACAGTGTCTCATACAGGTTCTCTACCTCATACAACATTGTCTCATACTGCTTCCATACCTCATACTACAGTGTCTCATACAGCTTCCCTACCTCATACAACATTGTCTCATGCTGCTTCCATACCTCATACTACAGTGTCTCATGCAGCTTCCCTACCTCGCACAACATTGTCTCATGCTGCTTCCATACCTCATACTACAGTGTCTCATACAGGTTCTCTACCTCATACAACATTGTCTCATACTGCTTCCATACCTCATACTACAGTGTCTCATACAGCTTCCCTACCTCATACAACATTGTCTCATACTGCTTCCATACCTCATACTACAGTGTCTCATACAGGTTCTCTACCTCATACAACATTGTCTCATGCTGCTTCCATACCTCATACTACAGTGTCTCATACAGGTTCTCTACCTCATACAACATTGTCTCATGCTGCTTCCATACCTCATACTACAGTGTCTCATACAGGTTCTCTACCTCATACAACATTGTCTCATGCTGCTTCCATACCTCATACTACAGTGTCTCATACAGGTTCTCTACCTCATACAACATTGTCTCATGCTGCTTCCATACCTCATACTACAGTGTCTCATACAGCTTCCCTACCTCATACAACAGTGCCTCTGCAGTAAAGTGTCACAGGGTCTCATACAGAAGAGTGTCTCGTACATCATCCTGTTTAGTACAGAACGGTGCCTCTGCAGCAGAGTGTCACAGTGTTTCATATAGAGCAGTGTCTTGTACAGCATCCCAATCAAGTACAGCACATTTACTTGCACAGAACCGTACCTCGTACAACAGTATCTCTGTAGCACAGTGTCTCATACAGCAGTGTCTCATACAACATTCGTACCTCGTACAACAGTGTCTCTGTACCATACAGCAGTGTCTCATACAACATCCGTACCTCGTACAACAGTGTCTCTGTAGCACAGTGTCTCATACAGCAGTGTCTCATACAACATTCGTACCTTGTACAACAGTGTCTCTGTAGCATACAGCACAGTGTCTCATACAACATCCGTACCTCATACAACAGTGTCTCTGTAGCACAGTGTCTCATACAGCAGTCTCATACAAGATTCGTACCTTGTACAACAGTGTCTCTGTAGCATACAGCACAGTGTCTCATACAACATCCGTACCTCGTACAACAGTGTCTCTGTAGCAGTGTCTCATACAACATCCGTACCTCGTACAACAGTGTCTCTGTAGCACAGTGTCTCATACAGCACAGTGTCTCATACAACATCCGTACCTCGTACAACAGTGTCTCTGTAGCACAGTGTCTCATACAGCACAATGTCTGATCCAGTATTTTCTCACACTGAACCAGCACATCAGTGGCTCATGTGCTCAAATCATACAGAATACAAAAAAACAAAACCCATTGAAATGACAACACAAACTCTGATTTATTGGGATGCTGGAAACATAAAAACAATTTGTTTTTCAGGCAATAACTTCTATGTCATACCTGTCCCTCCAGATCTGCAATGTGCTGTTGATGGAAGCCCAGATCCTGCCTCGTCTGCTGCAGTGCCATGTCCGACTCGTGGATCTGAGCTGTCATCTTCAGCATCTCACGCTCCTTCTGTGCCACCTCGCCCTCCAACATTCTCACCTACAAGACACAGTTACACTGTTCCAAAACTGATGTAACTACCTCACTCGACTTCTATGCCACCTCAGCCTCCAACAAGTTCAACTATTTTATTTTGGTACAAATAATGTAATATTGTCTTTATAAGATGAGCATACAAGACCCACCATAGTTTTACTAAATTGCGGTTGCGACTCGTGGCTCAACTTGCAGTTTGAGTTAAACCAAATTAGTCTTGGTTTACAGGCACCACTGCCTCTTCACAAAGTCTGCTGTTCATTTTTTTTTTATTTCCATTAAAGAAACACAAATCATTTAAATATTCCGGGTCCCAAACACACGACCCCGGCAGTGAAATGCAACAATAGTTAAAAACAATGCTATCCAATATAGCATGCAGTTACTTCCCTTTATTACTCGCTGGTGAAGAGATCACCCATTTAATAAACATACAGCTGTACTACACCTTATGTAATACCAAAGCATGTGCTATGTACAATGGGAACAAGTTTCACTAACAAATATTGAAAACTCCCAACATCCCTGGGCTTATTCAGCGACATTGCATGTAGACATGATAGATCACTGAGAGGAGTTTAAGCACACTCAATGACCCCAGCAACCTTGTTGCTGGGCTGACGTCACATCGCATTGTTTCGCCGGTGGATCTTGAAACAAAATTCCACAAATCTACGTCATATGGTATTGTGATGTGGTAGTAAAAAACGTTATCCACAAGGCAATCATACTGCACGACAGTGGTACATCTATGTAAAAGTATGGGAGTTACGATAACCTTAGCGCTATGACAGTTGTAAGGAACGGACCTGAATTCCAAATGGTATAAAAAAATGTCAACTTTTGAAGTGTTTGAAATATTATTCTCTTAAACTCAATTGGATAATGCTGTGGGTCACATAGATATCTCCCTATTCACAGTGAAATTTAAATATGAAATAAAATAATAAACTCGCTCACGCGTAATTCTAATTTTATCAAACGAGTGATTAGTACTGGTATCTGATGAGTTTATAAAATTGATATTACATGGAAGCTCATATAGTATTCTATATTCACACGCTCACTGCTTTTCTGTGCATCTCATGTTATGGTGACAGCGTCAATAGAAGTTTGTGTGTTTGTTTTGATGTTTTCAGGCTTGGTCAATGGAAACATGAAATTTATGATAAAACATCCCTAGACATGATGATTTACAAATTCAATGATATTTGTGTACTGTATGTCGGACAATGTTTTATATGCTGAGATCAAGAATATATGTGTATTTGTAAAATAAGTCAGAAATAGCAATCAGCTGTTCACACATTTTCTCTCTGATCTCAGGATGATTTAGTTTAAGAAATACTTAATATCATGGCCAATATCACAACTGAAAAGAAATGTCAATACAGTGATGGGAAAATCGAAGACTTTGTGTCTCTAACAACTAATGTTCGTTTCAAGACGAGTTCATGGTGAGTTGATGTGATTTGCCGATCAGTTCATACACGATTTTGCCGAAATTACTGAAAACAAAATTGAACGAAATCTTGGATAAAAGTAATATAATGGATTCCAAACATAAGTCCAGATACACAAAGAACACTTTTATAGCCAGATTGTGTAATAACAGGACTAACTTGTATACTTCAGTTCGGATTTGTTGACATGCTACTTCGTGTTGTGAAATACAATCGAAGCTCATCGTATGCATGCATTATGCACACCCTGGTAGTCAAATACTATATTCCAGTATTTAACTCATCAAGGAATACATTTATGTAGGGAGGCCCTTTCTCGGGTTGATAGTACACAACTGTGTATTTGGTTAAAAACTAGTTTGAACAACCCCCTCCAAAAAAGGCCACAGTCTGCACTATATTTTCAAATACCATTGCCTGAGAACAAATCTTTTGTTGTTTAAACCTAATACAACAAACACACTCTACTTTCTTTGCCATCTCAGCCTTCAAACACTCACCTACAAACTGCAATACTTCTATAGGAACAAAAATAATACAACCACCTCACACTCCTTCTGTGCCATCTAATCCTTCAACACACTCACCTACAAAAGACAGTAGGTCCACAGGAAGGAAACTGATTCAGCTAACAGATGCAGCATTATTATGCAATATTTATCAACGTAGCATTCAACGCCTGCTGTGTAGTGTACAACAGGTTAGTCACCTTGGCTTCAGTGATCCCAGCGGCCATCAGGTCCCTAGATCGGGACTTGGCGAGGGTCAGCTGCCTGCTGGCGTCCTCCAGCTGCTTCTCCAGGTGGTTCTTTTCCACTGTAGCACTGCCCAAGCGGTCACTCAGTGACTTGACCTCATTTTGCAAACTGCTGACCTGCATCAACAATATGACCATAAGTTTTACAGATAAGGATATCAGTTGAACACTGTTCACTCCTGAGTGACAGGGGCCCACTTGCACAAAGCCACCATAGCACTAAGACTATCATAAGCCTTTGTTAAATTTGTGACAGTTGTAGTGCTAAACCCACTTTGTGCAAGTTGGCCGTGGTTGGCTTGGTCAGCCTCTGATGGAGTATATACCTGCTTGTGAAGATTCAAAGCCCAAAGATACTAAGATAATCATAAGACATATGCAAGGAACAGGCATATCATGGTTGATTATTAAAAGGGCTACTTGGCTTTTCTTGTCCAGTAACATGTTACTTTCATCAAGTGACCTGACAGAGTTGTTATTTTATGAATCCCTTGTCAAGGAGACTTAACACGTTTGTACTTTGGTACATGCAAATTGCTTGTCATTAATCGCTGACTCCAAAAACTGCATTGGTCATTGCTGGTGAAATCTAAAACATTATGATTCATACAACAAATGTATGAAGGACACTTCCACCAGCGGCCTCTACAGTTAGCTACCTGAGCCGTGAGTTGGTCGATCTTGTGTTGCCTCCTGTTGTCAGAGTCGTCAGTTTTGCGGCTGTGGGCAATGTCCAGCTGCGACCTGGTCTCCAGCAGCTCCTGGTCCCGGGACTTCAGCTGTGACTGCAGTGTCTCTATCTCTGTCTGCATCTGCTGGGTGTTCCGCTGCAGCTGTGATGTCTGCCCTGTGAGGTTGTGGATCTCTAGCGTCAGGTGCTCCACACGAGCTGGAATGATCATAGCCAAATGTTATGATATTAATGCACACTTATAGTGTAATGTATCCACCCCCTAAAGCATGTGTAACTGGCCACAGTATTACCCTGGAAAATTCATTTGCAATTCAATCTTAACACTTTAGGAGTACACAACCAAAGCTGCCTGTTTTCTTGCATTAACATGACAATCTATCCCACCAGGTACCAATTTTGCTGCTCGATGAACAGGGGCAAAATTCAAACAAAGTCCCAAAGGATACACAACATACTGAACAACCTTTGCTTCAGGGTAGGACAGTACTGAAATCCTAGAAACTCACAAACGTCAAACTTGACTAGTCTTATCACCCATCGATCCACCAACTCAACAACGCTTTGTGACGTGTATACACACGGAAACACATGACTCCTTGTGCATCACAATTTCTTCATCAAGATAATAAATGAGAGTAAGATCTCATTTGAAACTCACCTTCCTGTTCTGCCGAGACTCTCTCTGCATTACAGTCAGGAACTGCTGAGGCCAGACTGAGTCGTAGCATGTCATTCTCTTTCTTCATGGCTTCCATCATGTCCTCCAGTGTCTGGAGCCGAGCACACGCCTCGTGCTTCTCCTTCACCAACACCGACAGCTGCCTGCAACACAGCAACATCAGAATTACCTCCCTTTGTATAGCCAGCGTCTAAGCTCTCACGGTATCATAACTGTCCAAACGGCAATTGCAAGATTCTTGAAAATGTAGTGACATGTGAATGTTTGTGCATGTCTGCAGGAACATCATAATAGTGAATAGGGAAAAAGTTTACTTCTGACTTAGCATTTTTCCCACATTAATCAGATTGGTTCGAGATTGCAGACCCATCTTCCCCCATACATTCTCACTAAACTTATTACATGATTGTTGAAATGAAATAGAAATTCAAATTTAACAAACAAAGAAAACAATTATAGCTCGCGGAAGAGTATTTCGGGGTAACAACATTCATTGCTTGTTTGTAAACATAATGGTCAGTTGGTTGCAAGTTCAACTCCATGCATGGCTGTAGGACGCCTAGCACAGTGGAGAACAATAAAAAAAAATCCTTAAATGAGTGAATGAATGAATAAATAACAATCCTTTGCTCGTGAGTTTCACAAGAGTTGTAAACATCTCAGAGCTGCATCTCCTTAAGCTTCATGGCACATTCTCCGTGCGCATTATACATGTAGTAATGAAATACTTGTCAAAGCTGTGGTTAAAAGTCCCCTAACACTTGTTTCTACAATCAAACTTCTATATAGTTAAAGCCCTGATATCCAAGACTCTGAGAAACTGATCCCAGGAATCCTCCAACACTCACTCCTTGTACATGTTCTCAAAGGCCATCTTCTCGGAGCGGATGTCCTCGATCTTCTCCTCGACATGATGCAACTTGTTCTCATATTCCCCCTTCATCTCTCGCAGGTTCTGAGAATAAACAGCATCACTGGCGTTAGTACCATGGCACACAATGCAATCATAGACCCATGCTTTCCCCCCTTTCCAGGTTTTCTAGGTAAATATATCAAGATGCAGGAGGTGAAAAAAACAGACAAATTCAATGTTTTACAATGTCAGTGATATAGTTTTGTAGTCACTGTACAACCCCAGTGAGAGGTCTTTAAGGACACAGCTGAAGTCAATCTATCAACACTATGTAGTCATACAGCCAAGAATAAAAAACTAAAGTCAAATTATCAAAGAAATGGTGTTTCATATCAAAACAAAGAGTAACGCAAAGAGGTAATTCCCATTTTCTGACAGGTTGTATATTTTTTGTATTTGCTGAAAATAAAGACACTGATATGGAAAGTAGAATGGTCTTTTTTATGGACGAATGTTACATCCATATTTGGTCAAAATATTTGAAAAAGCTACCTATCATAACCCCTAATGATATTTTTAGTGCAAATCTGATATCAATGTTAGCAATTTCCCAATATGCCTCAAAAGTAAAGTTGGAATTTCGGACATTATCACATCTAGCACAACAGAGCACCCAGTGAACCCATCTTTTTCATTTGTACAGTTAGTTAAATCATTTAGTTTTCATAATACCTGCCTTAGGAAATGTTAAATACTGAATGCAGGCCAGTAAACCTGAAAAGTGTTCAAAGAATCAGTAATGTCTGTGATGCTTGATCACAAGACTTTGTTCTTTTCTTCCCTGAAAAACTTAGCTAAACATAACTAACAAAAAAACTGAGAAGAAAGCATGATATTTCAAATAACAAGAAAAAACATAAACATAAATTGTTAGTATTTCAACAGATCTTAATGAGACAACAAAATCTATATCAGTTAAATTGATAACATTATTGCATATATGAGGACAGTAAATTTCACATAACTATTAAAAGAATATTATCATGAATTTCAATCAAGGTCAAATATTCTGTTCCGGCTATCATACAAACAAGCAGGCACAGTACACACATAGCTCGGCAGATATGTAACAATATAAGGCCAAGATGTTCACTTCTGGAAGAAAGCGTGAAAATTTGTACATAGGGGTTTTAGAGTATGCAGAATCCGATTTTAATGGGATCCACGCTGGCAAACCAATGGTTCCTACTCAAAATTGAGAAATTCAAGATGGCCGCCATCCATTTTACAAATTTCGATATATGGCCATAACTTTGGATCTATTCGACATAGAAACATGATCTAGGGGGCAAATTATAGATTTTCGGGGCCAAGGAATGCAATGAAGTAGTTTAAAATACTGTAAAGTGCATCCAGAACAAGATCCAAGATGGCCGCCATCCGTGTAACAACTAGTGTAAATGACAAATATGCCTTTTTGAAGGGTGAACGATTTTAATTAAAACTCCATCCAAACATTAATTTATAAATCTCTCTTCATTTATTTTTCAGGAAAATCATATCCATAGTACACCTGGTGAATGGATGTATAAGCATTAATTTTATGATGTGCTTAATTTGAAGAATTTGACAACATGCATCCTGATCAGCATTCAGCTGAAACTTTTGCTATAGATTTCTGATAAATATTGAAACGAACTTAACGAACGTTACGATTCTTTTCAGGAATCGAGATTTTAACAGGGTTCATTAGACTGTAGAATGAGCGTTGAAGACTTGTCCAATACAACCAAGCTATATGGAGCGATGGCGACAAAGAAAATAAAACTTGACAGTACTTCTGCCCATCACCCGGTATTTACCCAAACAGACTGGACGCTGTGTGCCCTGTGCCAGAAAAGTTCAACTGAACCCCTGAGAGACCCGTCCCAATGCAAGAATGTAAATCAGTCCAAAGGCTATGAATCGTTAGCTGAGCACATCGAGGAGCTACACTCACTTGGTGCCCTGCCGATGAACATACAGTTGTCACGTTTGGATGACGGTCAAGGTATCGCTGCAACCCTCTTTCAAAACAATGCAAGATGGCACAAAAATTGCTACACAAGGTTTAACCAAGATAAAGTTGAGCGTGCTCGCAAGAAGGCTGCCAAACTAGAGGATCCTAAACCGGAGACTTCTCCACTCAAAGGTAGACTGCGTTGTGCGTTTCCTGGAACCTCCTGCCAAGCTAAAGAAAATCTCTGCTTCTTTTGCGATGAAAAAGTGGAGGATGATTATCATACAGCAGCCACACCACGAATGGACATAAATGTTCGCAAGAAGGCAAATGAGCTTCGTGATACCCCACTACTAGCAAAGCTGTCCTCTGGAGACATGACTGCAATAGATGCCATATACCACAAACAGTGTTTGACTGACTACAGCAATAGACATCGTGCACACATCAGGAAAATGGAATCGAAGGAAAATTCAGATCTAGCCCCTGATGCTATAGCATTCGCAGAATTGGTGTCCTACGTTGAAGAGACTCGTCAGGTGGGTGAGCATACAGAACACTTATTCAAGCTGTCAAGCCTCGACTCTACAGATCACGACTTGAACAACTTTGCGGCGATATGTCAGGGCGCACAAACTCAACTCGTCTGAAGGAGAAGCTTCTAACACGAATTCCTGACTTAGAAGCACATAAAAGCAAGTATGAGGTCATGCTCACGTTTAAGAATGACGTCGGAAATACCTTATTGGAGGCCAAGAAGCAGGACCCCGAGAGTGATGCTGTTGTACTCATGAGAGCTGCAAACATAATCAGGAAGGAGATCTTTCAGAAACACTACAAGTTCACGGGATCATTGATAGACGAGCAGTATGAGGATAATCCAATTTCCCTAATTGCGTTGGTTCAGATGATTCTTGGAGGTACAAACATCCAAAACCAGATGGAAAACAATCATGTTGTGAAAACAGCTGCAATATCAATAGCTGAGTTGCTCACATTCAACACTCTGAAAGGTAGCAGGAAAGAAGCCACTGCTTCACAGACTCGACACAGCCTGGAACGAGAAACCAGACTTCCTTTGTACCTTGGGTTGCTGATCCACAACAAGACCAGAAAGCGTGACTTGATTGACACTCTTTTCGAGAAGGGATTGTCTGTATCGTATGACCGAATACTACAGCTGGCCACAGATGTAGCAAACAGTGCATTGACCTCGTTTGAAAATGTTGGGGCTGTGTGCCCCACAGCGCTGAGAAAAGATCTCTTCACAACAGGCAATCTCGACAACATAGATCACAATCCTTCATCAACTTCAGTACAAACTGCGTTCCATGGAACTGCCATCTCTCTGACACAGCATGTTACGAATGAATGTGCAGGCACAGAGCTCCAGAACAAACCTCTCATAGACAAGGACACACCAAGGACAAAGAAGATCAAGCCAATCATGGAATCGTACAGTACTGTCCCGCCAGCTGCATTCCCAACCGATAACCCTATACCATGCAAGACAGAGGGACAAGCGGTCCCCCAAACGTCTCCAGTCAACCCAGATGAGCTGCAGCTCTCATGGGCACAGGCAGTTGAGAAGCTGTTGGAGAAACCTGAATTGCAATCAGAAGATAACATCTCTTGGTCTGCACATTTTGCAGCTTCACAAGATTCCTGCCCCAGACCACCGGCGATATCTGGGCTCATGCCATTATTCCGTGATAATGCACATTCTTTGGCGATGGTAAAGCATGGCATGGATGTAATCGCTAAAGCTACCGAACATGTGCATCCTGGACAAGTCCCAATATTGACTGTTGATCAGCCGCTGTATGCCATCGCAAAGAAGATCCAGTGGACCTGGCCAGCTGCCTATGGCGAAGACAAGTATGTGGTGATGATGGGTGGATTGCATATAGAGATGGCGTTCCTGAAAGTTCTAGGAGATTGGCTAGATGGCAGTGGATGGTTGGTTGTACTGACGACTGCGAACGTTACCACCGATGGTAGGGCTGATGCTCTTAGAAAGGGCTCATTCACGGCACGTTCTCAGTGGGCTCATCAAGTAACAGCTGCTGCACTGTTTTGTTTACGTAGCCAAGCCTACATTTCATACAAAGCAGAAGCAGAGGCGGAAGCGAGGCCTGTGATGCCATTCGAAAACTGGTGCACACACATGGAGATGCATCATCCGCAGTTTCGGTACTGGAACAAAACCTTCAAACTTGAGGTTCTCTTCCTCCATTTCATGCAATCACAGCGTGAAGGAAACTTTGAGCTCTACATTGGCACATTAGGAAAAATTGTGCCATGGATGTTTGCCATGGATCACTTCCACTATGCGAGGTGGTTGTCTGTTCACGTGCGAGATCTGATGCAGTTACAGCGTGAATGTCCAGCAGTGTGCAATGAGTTAAAAAAAGGACACTTTGTGACACAGAAAACAACTCATCGCTTCTCCATGATGGCTCATGACCATGTACACGAGCAGCTCAATGCTGTGTTGAAAGGGGATGGTGGAATAATCGGCATCACTGAAAATGAAGCAGCCCTCAGGCGGTGGATGATTGCAGGTCCTGAGATGGCCAGGATCATACATGAGGTTGAAGTGAGCACATCTCAGAAGACAACCAACAATGATCGACACCATGAGCAAACTCTGACCACACAAAAGAAATTTGCAACAAATGTCCAAAGCGTGATAGATGTTCTACATGAATTGGGTAATCCCTTCACAGAAACGAGCTCTGATCTCCTCACTCTGGACACGAAGGTCATCATGTCTGATCAAGTCGTCAAGAACTTCTCAGAAGCGAGGAAATAGGTAGAACTCAGTACAACACCTTCGTTGATTTGCGAGTTGTGAAGAAGGAGAAGCCTTTCAATGACACTATTCCAAAAAATAACCTCCAGTTGTTCAAGTCAGGAGAACGGAAAGTCTCCTCAAAGATAAAGTCCAAAATGTCCAACTTGAAGAGCGACCTGCAGCTATTTTCGCGAATGTACATCTCTTGTCAAGCACGAAATGGTGAAATGGACGTGTTCTTCCAGCATGAAAACCACTCTTGGCCACCGTCTCTCGCTGAAAACAACATGATGCGTCTCGGAGAAAAATCTGACTTGCTAAAGTGTCTGGAACCACTAGCACCACGTCCACAGACCACACCTACTGTGGACGTGAAGATCTTTGATGGTGCTGCCCTCGTCCACACGTTGGATGCGAAGACTGCCACAACAAATGTGAAAACGTTCAAAGACTATGCAGAGTATGTCTTTGTCCCGTATCTGAAGAGGCAGCTTGTACATGCTGCACGGGTAGATGTTGTATGGGATACCTACATGGCTGACAGTCTGAAAGCGTACACCAGAGAGGGCCGAGGAACAGGAGAAGCTCTTCGTGTGTCTGAGAAAACACGACTTCCACACAACTGGAAAAGTTTCTTGCGAGTCGACAGCAACAAGACAGAACTCTTCAAGTTTCTAGCCACAGTTATTGAATCTGAAGCAACAGCAACAGGGAAGATACTGATCACAACCAAGGGTCAGAGTGTAACCTCATCCACACCACTAGATACTTCTGACCTACAGCCATGCTCACACGAAGAGTCAGACTACCGAATGATGCTCCATTGTCTCCATGCGTACAAACATGGCATGAAGAAGATAATGTTATATGCCACTGACACGGACGTACTGGTTCTTGCCATTGTGACTGCAATCGACATGGAAGATTGTGAACTTTGGTTAGCTTTCGGACATGGTGCCCATTTCCGTTACATTGGAGCTCATATTGTTGCCAGTGAGATGGGCAATGATTACTGCAGAGGCTTGCCATTCATGCATGCATTGTCAGGCTGTGACACGGTGTCGTCATTCTGCTCCATCGGTAAGAAGACAGCCTGGGAAGTATGGAAGTCACATCCCCAAATCAACGACGTATTTCATCGGTTGTCAGATACGCCAGATGAGGTGACAGACGCTGACATGAAAGAACTCGAGAGATATGTGGTCCTGCTCTACTCTCGCACATCACAGCTCACTGAAGTGAATGAAGCTAGGAAGCAACTGTTCTCCTACGGTAATCGGAAGCTGGAGAACATCCCGCCGTCATGTGCAGCACTGCTACAACATGTCAAGCACATCTGGGGACAGGCTCTAAAGGCCAGTCCTACTCTTCCAAGTCCTTCCGAGTGGGGATGGAAACTGGACAGCGACGGAATCTGGGTGCCGTTATGGAGTACCCTCCCTGAAGCATCAAAGGGGTGCAGAGAACTCATCAAGTGTGCCTGCAAATGCTCCAAAGCCAGTCTCCCCTGCACACAGCTCTGCTTTTGTGGTGGACAGTGTACTACAAGGGACATTGAGTGAAGGACCTCTTGCAGACATCGAGTGAAGGAGTTCTTACAAAAAGAGAACACTTGTTTTTTTAGAATTAGGTGGAATCCAACAACTTTTAAGTTTATAGGTTGCTTGTATGGTAGCATCACATCAGAAAAAAAAGTTTTGTTTGATTCTTGATTCTTGTTTTTTTACATGTATTAGCGTTGTCATGCCCACAAAATATTTTCAAAATCTTCCAGTTGCAACAACTTTATTCACATGTGCTGATGACAAAAAAAAAATCAATAAAAGCTTTGTTTTAAATTATGGTTAAACTTAATACATTCTATGTTCAATCTCAATTCTGAGTGGGAATCAAATTACAGCTATGGAGAGATATCGAAATTCGTAAAATGGATGGCGGCCATCTTTGATCGGTTTTAAACTATTTTATTGCATTCCTTGGCCCCGAAAACCTATAATTTGCCACCAAGATCATGTTTCTATGTCAAATAGATCCAAAGTTACGGCCATATATGGAAATTTGTAATACAGATGGCGGCCATCTTGGATTTCTCAATTTTGAGTGGGAACCATTGGTTTGCCAGCATGGATCCCATTAAAATCGGATTCTGCATTCTCCATAACCCCTATGTACAAATTTTCATGCTTTCTTCCAGAAGTGAACATCTATTTGACATATCTGCCCAGCTAACATGGCTTACATGGCAAATGATTTTCTTTCAAAGAGGCATAGTTAAGAATTCCACCTAAAACATGAAAGGTGACTAATTTTCTAAGCAGGCCCATATTGCAGGTTCACACTGGGTGTATATATACTGTACAACATACCAGGAACCAAGGTGTTATGGAACGGGTAATACATACATAGATGGCAGGTATTGGAACAGATAACAGATGTAGAGGTACAGCACCACATCGCTGACAAACACAGGTTTGTAAAACAACAAATATCAGCAGCAGAAGCACGTTGGCTTACAATCAGCAGAAAGTAAATTGTTTTTGTTTGTTTGTTTATTGTTTAACGCCAAACTAAGCAATTTTCCAGCTATATGACGGCAGTCTGTAGATAATCGAATCTTTACCAGACAATCCAGTGATTGACATCATGAGCATCGATCCAGGCAATTGGGATACTATGATATGCATCAACCAAGTCAGTGAGCCTGACCACCATTAGTCGCCTCTTACGACAAGCATTGTCACCGTTTACGGCAAGAATGGGTTGGTGAAGACCTGTTCCACCCCAGATAATCAAGGTCAGAAAGTAAATAAATACAAAGAGATATGAGAAAGATTTGAGAATGGCATATCTAGGTTGTTGTTGTTGTTGTTTATTGTTGTTGTTGTTATGCTTGTGTGTGACATGCTATTTATTGGGAGGCTGCCTCATCAAAAGTCACAAGTAGATTTTGGGTGAAGAAATTTCAGCATATATGAAATGATCCAAACTCTGGTTGACCCACTGCCCACACAATAAAAGAAACATTGATGCTGTCCACAACCTGGTACTCAACAATAGGCACATTACACTGCCTGAGTTAAAAGAGATGCCATGTTTCTCGTATGGGTCAATAGAAGCAATCCTTCATGAACTTCATCATATGTCAAAAGGTCGTGATGGGTTCCTTAGCACGCTATCCGATGAAATTTAGGCTAAGCAGATCACCACCTCTAATGCCCTGTTAACCCGATACCATCACAACCAACAAGTGTTTCATTGGCTGAGTGAGTGAGTGAGTGAGTGAGTGAGTGAGTGAGTGAGTGAGTGAGTGAGTGTGGTTTTACGCCGCTTTAGCAATATCACGGTGGGGGACATCAGAAATGGGCTTCACAAATTGTACCCATGTCAGGAATTGAATGCGGGTCTCCGGCATGACGAGCGAATGCTTAGCACTGTGGTTATAATAACTCTTAGTGCTAAGGTGTGGCGCAAGCACAAAAGAATTACATAATAATGTATCATCCAAGCATCACAATCGCTGTGACATCTCAGGAAAGTTGTCTAATCACACAACACAAACAGATACAATATTAAACTCACATTAACTCACATAATCGCAATCAATATGGAACGATAATGAAAAAACTCAAAAATTTACCCTCCACTCCAAACAGAAAGAAACCAGCCCCAAACCTGTGAAAGCTATAAGAGTTTCCTAAAAATAAAACAAGATGCTTCTACATTGAATACAGCACCATTATAGTGTGAGGTAAGTTATACAAACAAGACTACATTGAATACAGCACCATTATAGTGTGAGGTCAGTCATACAAACAAGACTACATTGAATACAGCACCATTATAGTGTGAGGTCAGTCATGCAAACAAGACTACATTGAATACAGCACCATTATAGTGTGAGGTCAGTCATGCAAACAAGACTACATTGAATACAGCACCATTATAGTGTGAGGTAAGTTATACAAACAAGACTACATTGAATACAGCACCATTATAGTGTGAGGTCAGTCATGCAAAGAAGACTACAGCTACAAGCCACTACAGCTTCAGTACTTGGCAAGGCCACAACTAATTGACTACAGGGTCCTCAGAGTAGCCTTCCCCCTTTTCATCGATCCGGGTATTCAGATGATTATTCCTATTATCAATGAACAAGATACCAGAAGAAACTCCCCAAACTACTTAAACTCTAAACTCTAAAACAGAAGATATGTTATCATTTGGGTATCAATATTAGCGGTATGAATATGTGAACATCCATAAATCTTGTCTGGCAAATAGACTTAGCGACATAAATGCCAAAGCTAACATATTATTATAATTTTGGAGAATATGCTGGTGATGAAGGAGTAAGCATATACTCCGAAACGTTGTGTTCCTCATAATAAAGAAGTTGACATCCATATTCTCTTCCTCATGTGAACAGGGTGACAATATAAAAAAGATCTTTCATCCCTAAAAAGAACATCCCTATAATCCCAATAAATCTCTCCAAATTATTCTTGTTGAGAGGCTCTCCGAAGGACATGTACGTAATTAGCTGTGGCCCTGCGACTAGTTGAGTGCCCGGTCGAGTTCCACCTGCAGCCCTTGCTCCACATCCTCCCCACACAGCTCCAGGTCCTGTAGATGCAGCTCCCACAGCTGCAGCTGGCATCTTGCAGAGTCACGCGTGTTCCACAGATGACAGATGATCTCCTTCTCCTGACCTGCGGTCAATCCTGCCTGCTTTTCCACCTGAGACAGGATGTACTTGATGTCGGAGACCTGGGTGAGTGCAGTGAAGGACAGTGGAAACACACAGGTGAAACACAAACAGTGGTGTACAACCCCCCAAATCAATGTGCCATGCATCCCCCAAAAGAAAAAGTGACACAAAGAATGTACTGAAATAAGCTTTCAAAAGGATGCAGCAAGTTAGCATGGTAAGTAGCTTTAGTGTCATCTTATTGTTTAATGATTTATTCTAAGGCACAAAAAGGTCATGTTGAGTGCATTAAATACAAAAGTGTATTTAAAATAAGATTACATATGTGGGTGAGTGGTATGTAAAGCCTCTTTGAACTATTTCAGTTTTCTCACAGCTTGTCAAGTTAATAAGGGAGGAGAGCACAGTTTGTTGAAGTAGTAGTCTAGTGGTTAAAGCGTTCGCTACTTGTGCTGAAGACCTGGGTTCAATTTTCCACATGATCACAATGTGTGAAGCAAATTTCTGGTGTCCCCACCGTGATATAGCTGGAATATTGCTAAAAGTGGCGTAAAACCATACTCACTCAGTCATTAGAACAGGTGTGGTGTTGACACACCAAGGATCATGATCAGTGCAAATCTTGGATTCAAACCCATGATCAGTTGATCCTGGTAAGGGACACAACTCTGTATTGGAACTGTAGAGCCATAGACACCTGTGCTCCCATATAGACATGCAACAATAGTGATAACAATGACACAATGCAATTAGTATATCACACAAAGGAAACAATAACCTTATGTTTGTCAGTAGAGTGATATTACTGATGATTGGGACTCTAACAGACAAAACGCCTCACCTTTTTTTGGTCTTGTTTCTGTGAGGATTGCTTGTTGCATGGAATGTTGGTGTTATCGTTGATGAGGTAGGAGTCATCGAGGGGGACTGAGAGACGTAGGTTCTCATTATCAACCTTCAGCTCGCGGCATCTCTGGTCTAGGTTCCGTGACTTATCCTTCTCTCTGTGAAGCTGCCTTGTCAGCTCTTTCTCTGATGACTGTAGAAGGCAGAAGAATGTTTTTGGTTTGGTTTGGTTTGTTGTTTAACACCGCACTCAGCAATATTCCAGCTATATGATGGCGGTCTGTAAATAATCGAGTCTGGACCAGACAATCCAGTGATTGACATCATGAGCATCGATCCACACAATTGGGATACAATGACATGCTTCAACCAAATCAGCAAGCCTGACCACCCGATCCCATTAGTCGCCTCTTACGACATGAATCGTCACTTTTTACAGCAAGCATGGGTTGCTGAAGACCTATTCTACCCTGGATATTCACGGGTTGCAGAAGAATGTGATTGGAGAGATGGAATCTCACTTTGAGACAGGTGTGCGTGTACGTTGGGCTTATTCTACTCCAGAATCTCACCTTGAGACAGGCATGCGTGTACATTGGGCTTATTCTACTCCAGAATCTCACCTTGAGACAGGTATGCAGGTACTTTGGGCCTATTCTACTCCAGATTCTCACCTTGAGACAGGTATGCGTGTACGTTGGGCTTATTCTACTCCAGAATCTCACCTTGAGACAGGTATGCGTGTAAATTGGGCCTATTCTACTCCAGAATCTCACCTTGAAACAGGTATGCAGGTACTTTGGGCCTATTCTACTCCAGATTCTCACCTTGAGACATGTATGCAGGTACGTTGGGCTTATTCTACTCCAGAATCTCACTTTGAGACAGGTATGCGTGTACGTTGGGCTTATTCTACTCCAGAATCTCACCTTGAGACAGGTATGCAGGTACGTTGGGCTTATTCTACTCCAGAATCTCACTTTGAGACAGGTATGCAGGTACTTTGGGCCTATTCTACTCCAGAATCTCACCTTGAGACAGGTATGCAGGTACTTTGGGCCTATTCTACTCCAGGATTTCACTTTGAGGTAAGTATGCAGGTACTTTATGCAAATGTTAACATTAGTGTTAGCCTGAAACACTGATCTGTTCTAAGATGATAATATTCTTGAACATACCTGTAAACGAGCATTCTCAGTTAAGAGCTTTTCTTCCACTGTAGAGAGGCTATTGGCCCGATCAGCTCTCTCCTGGTGCAGTCGGTCTTCCGTCACTCGAAGTCGTTGCTCTAATGCTTGCACCTAAGAGGCGGATCAGTTAGCAGCAGCATGGTAAGGGATCATATTGAAGCAGGGTAGTGGATCATATTGAAGCAGGGTAGTGGATTATATTGAAGCAGGGTAGTGCATCATATTGAAGCAGGGTAGTGCATCATATTGAAGCAGGGTAGGGGATCATATTGAAGCAGGGTAGTGGATCATATTGAAGCAGGGTAGGGGATCATATTGAAGCAGGGTAGTGCATCATATTGAAGCAGGGTAGGGGATCATATTGAAGCAGGGTAGTGCATCATATTGAAGCAGAGTAGTGGATTATATTGAACCAGGGTAGTGGATCATATTGAAGCAGGGTAGAGCATCATATTGAGGTAGGGTAGGGGATCATATTGAAGCAAGGTAATGCATCATATTGGACCAGGGTAAAGCATCATATTGGAGCAGGCCGTGTTGACAATTGCATACACCAGAGGCGTGTCACAGTGAGCGACAGAGGTTGTATAATGAAGTAGATATTTGGGTAGAGTAGTGGCATGAGGATGGTGATGAAGATGAGACAGTAGTGGGTCAATGTTCAGGGTGCAAGGAGGATGAAGTTTCCATGTTATATATTCAGGGGAACGGAATTGGAAAATTGAGATAAGATTAGAGAATAAAGAGTCAATAGCAGATTGAGCAGCAAGTGCACCCAGAGTTTATTTAGAAAGTCATGACATTCACAAACATACAGATAGAAGCCACAGGGAGTGACACACATGGTACATTCATCACCGACACAGGGTGACAGGATCACAGTCAATAGGAAATAATGTGCATGATTGAAAGGATGTACATCAGCAGTGGTTATATTTACATGCACAGAATATGACAGGCGTCCAATAAAACATCATAACGACAGAATATTTACAAATCAAAGTTTGTGTATTGGGTGTGAGACAGTTAGTATCGGCAAAGCAGAAAGAACAGAAAGAAGAGCATCTTATGAACATAATGCTTCATATATTAAAAAACAACTGAACACCAGAAACATTTTAAACATCAAAATGTAACAACTCACAATTGAAACTGATAAAAAGATTCCAATAGCACTTGCAAAAAGTATTCCAATAATTTCCCAACAGAAAAAGATAATAATCCTAGGCAAGGCTTGATCGTAGTGCTACCAGTGGCGATTATGAGTTATGTCCTTTCTATGTCCCTCCTATTGACCAATCAGATTTCACCAATCATATCACTTGCATTTGCTTACACAAAAAGGCGGTGCCCAGTGAAGATGACCTGATCAATGATCAAGATTTATATTGTAACAAAAAGGGGTCTTACTTCGCGGAGTGAATCAAATCACTTGAACACCTTGATTAAAACATGAAAAAGTTTGGAAAATAACAGTTGACGGTACGGTACGGTACGGTACGGTATGGTACACATGCTTTGCAAATCCTGCAATCGACCGAAATCTGCATGACAGTTTACAAACTGGATGTCAATTTCATTATGCGATTTGATTGTGTTACCAGTATTTTCATTGTGTTACCTGTACATATAGTTAATACAAAGTACAGCTTACCAATTGCTTCTCACTGATGAGAAAATGCATCACTGATCTACTGTTACCCACCTGTTTCTCAGCAACCGATGAACCCACCCCTCCTGAATCTATCTGCTGCTGGAGAAGGTTCCTGATCTCAGTCAGTTTCACAACCTGGTGCTGGGCATTCTGGGCCCGGTCAATCTCAGCCTTCACCTGACTCTCACTCTGCTGAAGCAGCATCTTCACATGATCCAGCTCACTCTGGAAACACAACATCCACACATACACACCTACATACCTTATCTAATGCTAGATCCTTTCACACAGTTGAGTTTCTACCTTGTAACAGTACCATCAAAACTGGGACCCAACTGTGTGATTGGCATTCTAGCAGTTGGCAAATAAGTAAGAAAAAAAACGGCTATCAGTCTGGAGATAACAGTGTAAGAATCTACATTAAAACGTCTCTATATGCAATAAACCAGGAGTCGTTATCCATAAAGTGGTATGTTTTTCTTAAAAACCGTGCTCAGCGTGCTTCCTGTGAACTCCAATTGTGTCATGACTAACTCCTTTATTTCAAGCTCTCTGTTGTCCCCAAAACTTTAAATACATTCTCTTTGTAGATTTCTATTGTGTTTTCTGCACGAAATGTATTGCCACACAACCTTTGAATTTTGTAGTAACGCAACTTTGCATCTTGTAACCTATAATTGTAGATAAAATTATTTAAATATGCCTACCGACAATGAATGAAAAAAAAGTACAAGTCTATGAACATTAGCTTCTGTGGTGATGCGGCCATCAAATTGCCTGTTTCAATCAGAGTGGCTTTATTGTGATTTAACAAACTCTGATTGACTAATCAGAATCGAGTAATTTCCAAATTCATGGTAGAGTGTATGTCAACTGACTTGCAGACAGATTCCTTACCTTGAGGGAATTGGCCTCAATCTTATATGCTTCAAAGGCCCTGGATCTCTCAGCACTGGTCCTGATAGCATCAGCCTCTCTCTGGGAGGACTCCAGCAGCTTCTCAAGACTTAGCACCTACAAGACACACACAACACCAACTGATGCCAGGAATGTCACATCAGTTTAAACTGCTTCGGCTAGCATGTAAAATGGTGTGAAATCAAGCACTTAGACCATAACTACAGTATCTTGTCTTGTCTTTCAAAATAATTTTGATAGTGCAGAAGTTATCATCAAAAAATTGTATTGCAATTGTATCATACGAGCATGTGTGTCATACTGATTTTACAAAAACAAGTGTCAGAATTCTTGTATTTCCAAAGCGAGAGCGAGGGTAATATGTTAATTCTTACACAAGTTGCATAAAATATGTATAACACACATGCAAGTTTAATAGTTTCTTTATTACTAATTATTTTTTAATCCTTTTGAGCCCCACTTGAGAAAAATGCTCTGATCGTTTCCGCCGTCTTAGAAAACCACAATTTGTGATATTTCAGATATGACAGCGGCGATGGTCCATGCAAAAAGCAGTAGTGAAAAGCGGAAACATCTTTTTCTTCACCCAAGACCATCGCCGAGCACTGTCTTTTTGTTGTCGTAAGGTAAGCAGTGAATGCATTAAGGAGTAATGAAGGATAAGTAAAAAAATGGTTCTTTCTAACCCTTGTAGGTATCTCTATTACGATTCGTATTGCAAAATATTGGGAGCTTAATCCTTTTTACAATGATTGACAATGATTGACACTGATTGTACATGCAGATCCTTTTTTTCTACATACTAAAGTAACTATTACCATGTCAATTCATGAGACTGATAAAGAGTACAGAGACAAGAAAAAACACTCCTGACTGTTGTTACCTCTGCCTGTAGAGTATCGTTATGGCGTGTAAGGGAGACAATCCTGGTCTGAAACTGGTCCATGTCTCGCTGTGCCTCGGATCGTGTCTTGTCATACAGGGTAGAGATCTCTGTAGTCATGCTGGTTTGGAGGCTGTCCATCTCATTGTGGGCAGAGCTCAACTTCTGTTCCAGTTCAGTAACTTTGGCTAAAACAAATTTTGTAAGTACAGTCTTCGGTTTTGTTTCAAAGACCAGTCCAGAGGACTAGTGTTAACCTCATTTCACAGATCCTCAGAGTCTGCAGCAAGTCCTGCATGAAGAAGACCTTTACAATGTTAACAATATCATTTTCTGTCAGTTTTAATTTGTAGCAAAATTGAAACATAAAGAACTTATTCAGACTTATAGCCCTCAAATGCTACGAGTCAATGAGGACTACCATCTTTGAATTTTTACTTGTACTCAGCACATTCTTGTAGTCTCGGGCTAGCGGACTAGCATGAATTTCAAAGGCCGAACAACAATGCAAAATCATTAGAACAGGTCCAGTTATTTCAGAAACCTCACCGCTATACAATTACTGGTGAGAACGTTCAAATATAATAAGAGGGAGATTACTTTGAATCTCATGAATCGTTTACCTAGATATTCCTTTCTGAGTATGAGTTCACTGAAAACCATAAGGTCTCAGTTGATAGGGTTTTCTACATGACTAGCATCTTGCTACAATATTGCCAAAGTAAAAGTTTTTTGAGAAATCAGCACTGCCAATTTATCAAGTGTATCAAGATTCACAAGGGAATGAGTCTTTGGCGAGAGGCTTACAACATTCATTCCCAAGGGGCAGATCATTTGTTATTTGGAGGTATTCTTTTACCAGAACCAAACCATGAGGTCAACAATCGAATCTGACCGGGTGACATCCAAGGCATGAAGCTGACTATCCCTGCCACTGTGGCATCGCCAGGAGACAACAAGTCTTAAATGGTGAGATCTTCAAATGAGGCAGACGACAGCGGTTAATAAGGCGCCTGGCGTAATCTTCGTCAAACAATATTGAGAATCCAAGCTGGAGGGCAAAACTTCTTAGTCTGTTCTTTTAGCCTAAAACCTCGGACAATGGCCAAAAGTGCAGGGACTGAGGCCAAACAGGAACCATGAGTGATCTTCAAGCAGAGTTGAGCACCGAAAGGTACGTCAAAAAAGTTGAGTCAGCATTGTGACGGGATGGGTGTAGAAATAACGAGACGTCAGCCACTTAGGGGGACGGTGGCCTCCACTGGAATAATGTGTCTGGGATTACAGAAAGCCTGAATAGAATGCCACTTGTCATCACATAGGGAACGAGTTGAGGTACGATGAGCCCTGGAGACAGCATTTGCTACATGAGTCTAGAACCCTTTAGCTGTCAGGGACTTCTGGAGACAGATTGTAGCTGTCAGGGTCTTGAAGAGTCTGTCTGGTGTGATGGTTGAGCAGCAGATTTGGCCACGCTGGAGGGCGCAACACAGGTTCCCCGGCAATCGGAAGGAGACTTGGAAACCAAACTCTGGCCATCCAGTAAGGCGTGACCAAAGGCAGATTCAGAAGACAGGTCTAGGCTGCATTGTGAATGACCTGGGAAAGAAGAACTGGGGGCGGAAAAGCGTACGCACAGTGAACAGTGTGAGGCCGTCTACTTCCCAACCAGTTCAGTATGGGACCAGAGAGACGTACACTGGCAATTGGTAACTCACTGTGGTGAAGAGATTGACGTTGGGAGTTCCCAGGTGGTCGCACATGAACCGGGAAAGGGAGTCTGCCAACACATTGCGGCATCCTGGAATGTTACGGGACCCCTGTTTGTTGATGTAATACACCACCCTGTAGTTGTCCAAAGCGACCAGAAGACAGCCGTTGCGGATTGATCTCCATTGACGAATGGCCCGGATGACTGCCTCCAACTCAAGGTTGTTGATATGCCATGGCACTCGGTTGGCATCCAAAGACCTGATGTGGTTCACTGGAGAATGTGGGCACCCAAGCCTTGGAGAGAATTGTCCACAAAAAGATGGTGGATAGCTTGCTGTAGAGGTTCCACTTAAGACATTGGATGGGGCTAGCCACCACTCCAGAAACGGGCATAATTCTACTGGTAGAGGCATGAGGGGACCCATCAGGTGGGAGCGCAGAAAACGAAGGATAAATCTCTGAAGGGGATGCAGTTGAAGGCTACCCATGGATGTAAGATCTTGAGTCGAAGTCAACAGACCGAGTAGGGTCTGCCACTAGCGGAGGTCAAAAGGTTGATCTAGTCCTTTCTGGATCCTGGATTGGATGACAGCGAACTGATCCAACAGAACATGTATCAAATTAAATTCCGTCAGAAAGAAGCCACCAATGAAAGTGAAGTAGTGAAAGGGATAAGATCTGATTTCTCCATGTTGACCACCCAACCCAACCAATGAAGGAGTTGAAAGGTGAAATCCCGATGAAGAGTCAGATTGATGCTGAAAGACCTGAAAGTCATCATTTCTTCTCATGTATGATCAAATCTCTCCAAATATTCAACATACATTCCACTTTTTATACACAACACCCATTATTACCACCAGGTAATTTACAGGTGTGATATAAATGGATTATCAGAAGATCTTAATTCAAACCTGTGTGCAATATCAGACATGACATACTGATGGCGTCTGCTTCTGATTCTCAGTAAGATCTATCTTACCTGAACGTTGTACACCACTTCAACATGTAGTTTAACAACATACCTCAACGATATGACACAAGGGACACAGGGCTATGTGAGGAATACACCAGTGATTAAACCCCACTCTGAGAAATGCTGTATGAATTACATGCCAGGAATATATATATCCATCCAGGCATACACCCTCTTCACCTCATTATAGCGCGGAGTTTTATCACTATTGTACCAGGAATTTCTTAAGTGGCAATTCCATTTATGACATTTGTTGGATATGATGATCATTAGCAATAATAAAAACTATAAAAAATAGATTGGGTAGGCTTATAGTGAAACTGCGTTATAATGAGGGCATCTCCAGCAGCAGTTGTAAACAGAGCCTATACCATTACTGAGAACATTGGCTCAGTAAGTCTTGTTGGCAGCATAGCTGAATAAACACATGACCAATTATAATCAAAGCAGCTAAATGTCACTGTGTACAAGCTACGAAATAATAACAGTTAAATGATCATAATAATGATCCTGCTCTTCATACATATAGCAGAGTCTGCTTGAACCAGGTTTCTTAACAACTGAAATTTACACCCAGTTTTGAAAGAGGTCTGGATCAGAGAGAATATAGCAGGAGAAATACAATGAGATTTCCGTGCATTGAATACACAATAAAACCTGCAAATCTAAAAACACATAATGTTTTATCACCTAACCATTGAAGTAAATTAGCCTTAACATTCGTTCACATTAAAGATGTTCACCAGTCTGTGCGATTATGTAACTTTATAGTAAATAAAATATTTTAAAATCTAAATGGTTTAATCTCGTGATACATGACAAAAAGACAGGTATCCTTATGTAACTTAAGCTGATAAGATGTTTGTTTGCTTGTTTGTTGTTTAACACAACACTCAGCAATATTCCAGCTATATGAAGGCAGTCTGTAAATAATAGTGTCTGGCCCAGACAATTTAGTGATTAACATCATGAGCATTGATCTACTCAACTGGGACACAATGACATAAAGTCAAGTCCCGTTAATCCGACATTGTTGGTTGCATATGATTATGTCGTATTAACGAGTAGGTCAGATAAACGCAATTAAGTAGGATCAACATTTGTGATCGAAAATCGGACAACTATACGATAGATAACGATACAAACACGCAATAAAAAAATATAAATGAAATATTCATATTGTTAGGTTACATTGTTAACGGAATATGTTTTCTAATCATGCAACTTCTAAAGCTCAACACAAAACAACTGTTACGGACTGTATGACTTATTCAAAATACTTTTAAAAGCATGGTCTGGAATGGAAGTCGCAACTTTGAAACTGGTACCGCAAAGCTAAGAAAGCTGCTTTCCAAGTAGCTAACGTTAACATCCTGTTAGTTATTTCATTGGTCGGTCATAGTTCGCGAAATGTTGTTCTGACGTGACCACCTGTAATGGGATGTCCTTGAATCAGATTTTAATGATACTGAGGTAATATTAGCATGTGATTAATCCTGTTTTCTTTATTTAAAGCATTAGATCTAATTGTTTTATGTTAAGCAAGTTTTTCTCTGCAGCAGTTGTAATATGCAGCTACCAGCCGACTCATCTTGCATCAAAACACGGACCGTGTTCTTGTGGGCAGATCACCACGGAGTACGCTTATCATTGTGTCGGATTAACGAGACTGATTAATGAGTGATTTCAGTAATTCGTTGCAAATTAGCACTGATTTAATCGGTTCCCATCATTAGTGTCGGATAAAGCTGATTGTCGGATTAACGAGTGTAGGATTAATAAGACTTGACTGTATATCAACCAAGTCAGCAAGCCCGACCACCTGATACCGTTTGTTGCCCATTACGACACACAAGCATGGGTTGCTATCTAGACCAGTTCTAACCCAGATCTTCTCTGGGGTAGCTGATCAGAGCCCAGTACACTGAGATGACAGATGCATCCTATGATGTCAACATCCACTATCTTATAATTGCAAGTGGATTACATGTTTATTGCAATTATATTACAAAAGAAAAACTAATCCCTATTTCTAATTTCCTTAACATTTTGTTCTACATAATTAGATATCATTACTGATGTAAAGAGGTTCAGACAACCCAGAGTGATATATTGACTGACTCTTTGATCACCAGGTCCAACTTACCGGAGGCCCTGTTGAACTTCTCCTTCATCAACTTGTTCTCCATCACCAGGGTCGAGTTCTCCACCTGCAGCTTCCGCATCTGGCTCTCCATCTTCTCCTAAAGGACACAACAGGGTTTCATTGTCACAAAACTCCATATCATATAATAAAACACCCAGTAACAAAAGTCTCCACAATGATTTTGACAAAGAATGTATTTGGGGTTCAAGCTTACTTCCAAAAATTTGAACTAATGCCTCTAAACTTTAGGAAAAAGAGCTTTAAAGAAACCCCCAATTTTCTGCCATGTGCAGGTTTTTTTTAATCCTAGATAAATCGCTTCCAGTTAACAGTAAGTTTGAATGCCAAATGACAGAACTGAGCAGGAAAAACATGTGCCTTACTGACATTAAAACCTAGTTTGGTGGCAAAGTTGCATTTGAATTTTTGATGTATTGATAGACTGTTCGCACACAACACAGGAAAACATAAAATCTAGCCATGTCACACCAACCCATGATCACTGGTGGAATGTTACTAGGATGTCTGAAGCTGATACCTTGTGAGAATTACATATATCAGTGTTCAAATAATAAAGGTTTGTTAACATGACTGCATTGTCATGTTACTGGCCACACTTTTGTGTTACTGACCACACTGTCATGTGACTGACCATACTGTCATGTGACTTACCATACTGTCAGGTGACTGACCAGACTGTCAGGTGATTGACCATACTGTCATGTGACTGACCACACTGTCATGTGACTGACCTCAGTGGCATGTGACTGACCATACTGTCATGTGACTGACCTCAGTGTCATGTGACTGACCATACTGTCATGTGACTGACCACACTGTCATGTGACTGACTACACTGTCATGTGACTGACCATACTGTCATGTGACTGACCATACTGTCATGTGACAGACCATACTGTCATGTGACTTACCATAATGTCATGTGACTGACCTCAGTGTCGTGTGACTGACCATACTGTCGTGTGACTGACCATACTGTCGTGTGACTTACCATACTGTCATGTGACTGACCATACTGTCATGTGACTGACCATACTGTCATGTGACTGACCACACTGTCATGTGACTGACCACACTGTCATGTGACTGACTACACTGTCATGTGACTGACCACACTGTCATGTGACTGACCACACTGTCATGTGACTGACTACACTGTCATGTGACTGACCATACTGTCATGTGACTGACCATACTGTCATGTGACTGACCTCAGTGTCATGTGACTGACCACACTGTCATGTGACTGACCATACTGTCATGAGACTGACCACACTGTCATGTGACTGACTACACTGTCATGTGACTGACCACACACACGCCACACAGTCAAGTGACTGACCATACCATCGTGTGACTTACCATACTGTAATGTGACTGACCATACTGTCGTGTGACTTACCATACTGTCAAGTGACTGACCATACTGTCATGTGACTGACCACACTGTCATGTGACTGACCACACTGTCATGTGACTGACCTCAGTGTCATGCGACTGACCACACTGTCATGTGACTGACCATACTGTCATGTGACTGACTACACTGTCATGTGACTGACCACACACATGCCACACAGTCATGTGACTGTCATGCAATCGACCACACTGTCATGCAACTGACCTTCTCCACCATAAAGTTTCGGATGTCTGATGTATGAGGGCTGACTGACATGGAGGAAGACATCTTGCGCTGAACGTCACCTGGCCTGGACTGAAACAACACACCAGTTCAACTAAAAAACAGTGTACATTTCATACAAAAAAACGGAAGCTGCCATAGCCCTTGTATTTTCTTGGGCAAATACTAGTGCCCTACCAACTAAGAAAACATGATTGAGTAAATACATACAAGCACATTTAAATATGCTTGAGTCTCACATACAGTGAAACTTGAATCATTAGTCCGGACCTTGTTAATGCAGAAACTCAACCTCCCAAACGAAAACTCTCGTATATGCTGACATGTATACAATGTGACATTACTTTGCAACTATGATTAGTTAATCAGGAAATATGCTATAAAACAGTGGGAACGCTACCATCCGGATTAACAAAGTTTCACTGTATTGTGTATACACACTAAACATGGTAAAGTAGATTATAGTTCATTCTAACACAACCATAAATCAACATCAAACGTACCCTTCAAGTCCAAAATATGGTTAAACATAGTGAGCTGTGAAATGCCAAATAGGCAAAATAGGTAAATAACTCAAATCTGCACCTTGCAATCTTACGCAAGTACCACACATCAGCAACTGCAGCTGGGTAAAAGAAGTTAGGTCACACTGACATCCTTTACACTAGCATGGCTACACGGGAAAGCTTGAAAATCTTAAACCAGTCCCAGTTCTACACAGCTTCTGCTCATGTTATCATAAAATTCACATTAATAATGATTTCCGCGATAAACAATGTTTCAATGAATGAAATGTTAACAATGAACAAAGATAAAAATCACAAGTTAAACAAGATTAGCAAACAAAAACATTGTTCTAATATTAACATAATCAAAGGTCCATAGTCTTAAACACATGTCATGCACTTAGGTCAAAACAACCTACCTAACCATGATAACTGCATGTTAGTGAATGATGTAAAAGAATTAAAGAAGACAAATTCTGGTAGTTGCCAAAAATGGTAGAAACTTGGATGATATAGCACAGGCAGAAGGTAATGCCTGTCTATAGTACCCATCTAAAACCTTTTCAAGGCAGTTATCACAACTTGCTAAATATAAGACTCGAGGTGCTTTCAAACTGATTTATTAGGACATTCCTACTTTATTTCATCGTCTGAATCACTGCATCAGTTCATCTAAAGACACAATTAAAATATTCAAGTCCACACACCAATGTTTTAATATCATTTTGAGATTGACTTAAGATAATTTTTTATTACATGACCGCCGTGATATTGCTGGAGTATTTCTAAAAGCGGCGTAAAACCATACTCACTCACTTTTATTACATGATGTCATCAAGCATTACTAGAGAAGAAATGATGGTTATATATATTTTTTGACAAGAAATGAATGGTTGCCAAATTCAAGCCCTTATAAAAGGTGTTTTATCAAACTCTAAGGCCTTTTCGCAAGACAGATAAATATAAGCACTTACCAATGCCAGGCTGGCAAATTACATACCATTTGGTGAGACAGGATATGCTCCCATTTTGCAAACACCTGGTATCATCACTATTTGACAGTGAGTCATAAACACATTCTCATGATATAGTCGCTTTTACCATTATAATTAATTATTTTGAAGCCTGTGTGAACACTGCTACTTATGGATGAACAAGTAACAGAACAAAGGAGGATCCAAACAACGGTAGCACGGCACACTGACGAAACACCTTACCTCATCCTCGTCAGTGTGGAAGTTCTCCTCCTGGAAAGGAGTAAGGTTTCACGACTACATGCACTATCTCAGAGATGACTTCTCTTGGACACCACATCAGTTAGTTACAATACTGGGGCTTGTTGATAATGCAGGTAATCTTTTTATCAGCTTAAACATGTTTAACCTTCAGAATTGTATGTTAGCATATGGGGATTTTGATCAAAGGCTGCTTTGCTTAACAAAGCTCTGAAAAGATTTTACTGTGCTCTTCATCAATACACAGGGTTTTTCTTTCACCCATGAATATATTCAGCCATTCTTGACTATGTGTTGTTGTGCTTGTTTCAGTCTGTGAATAAAGCCAACCATACTTCCGGTGGGAAAGGCAACAGCAAGTGGTCTTGACAAAGACAGCTCACATGACATGGTGCAATTGAAAATGATTCCCTCTTTACACGCATATCCATTGGCTTTACACACTGCGTCAGTGTCAGGCAATGATGTATTCATAAAATGTTAAAGCATGGATTTGGGCTCATTTCATTTCAATGAGCACTCAGTCTCATTTCTTTAGCTGACATTAAAGCGCACACACACAAATGAACCTATTTTTCTTGTACTCTTTCCACATTAAAAGTGTTAACCTAGTAGTGTCATAGACAAAAATATAAAAATATCACAATTAATTAACATATGTTTTGCGTTAAAATGATTTATATTTCACATTTACCAAGTGTTCTATTTCCATAACAAAAACACCATGGCTTATGCCCCTTGCAATATGACGTCATTGGTGCCAATTGATAAACATTATGACGTCAACATGCTTTGTTAGAGCCGCTTCACGTGGTGTAGGTACAGGTGTGTGATTCTAGCGTCTCAGATGCCAGCCAGCATAGTGTTATGCTGAGTCACCACTGCGCCGGCGTGTATCGTAGGCCATGTTGTTTTACCGCAAACTGGTACTTGATATCTTTTGCATTGAGAATAGACAGGGACCCAGTTGAATTGGCACCAATTACGTCATAATCTAAGGGGGATAACTCAGGCCTGTTTAGCTCGAAAAACGAAGGCCTCATAACGGCATATCATTTTAACAGTATTGTGAGCTACCTACTTTCACTGTGGAAAAAGTGAGTGTATATTTTCAAACACAAATACTAACTAATTCTAAAACTGCGTTTTGTTTAGAAAAAGAAAGAAAGTGATTTTTGCGTGTACACTTCCCCTTTAAACAGACATACATCACCACGACACAGCAAAGCAACATTAGATGAATTTCCCTGGGGTAATGATAACAGTTGAAATTTACATTCATAAATGTTCTATGATACTGTTACAGCTTGACATCTGAATTAGCTTACCTGACTTGTATGTCTATCAGGTGTCATGTGGAAGGGATAGGGTGCAGCAGGGTTGACAGATGTGGTAGAGAGAGCAGAAGCTGAGACTGGACCTCTAGGGACCACAGGGTTGACAGGAATAGGAGGAGTAGATGGGTGTCCGGAGCAATAGCTACTGTACAGTTGGTTCAGGGTGTGCAGAGCTGTGTCAAACTCAGACCCCAGCACATGCAGGGATAGGCTTGGGTTGGCACTGAATAGTTTCCAGAATATTTCATTGGCTGACAGAGCTAAATGCAAACTTTTTGGCATGGTTCTCTTCTCTTCCGAAGGATGTTCTTCATCATCTGAGTAAGCATCAAAACTGAGATTAGATGTCACCCTCAGTGAAGAGTCTCTAGGAGTGAAAACAGAATCTGGATAGCTCAGAGAAGATGCAGAATCTCTGCCTGAGTGTCCAAAGCCAGAGTCTGTGGACATTCCTGTAGCTGGGCTGTAGGTTTTATGGGAATAAGTAGAGCCTGTGACAGAGAGAGGTTGACTTGGCATTGGTTGTCTCTGACCAGTGTCTGAATAGCTGTCTGTGTTTTGTGGACAGAATCTGTTTCCAGAGAAAACAGGGTGTTGTTTTATGAAGTCTGGTTCACTGAAAGACTCCGGGAATACACTTATCAGCCTGTCTGATAATTCTCTGAAATATGTTGTGATATCACTCAGAGCAGGATCCAAATCCTGCTTGGTTCCAGGTCTGCTTCCATCTGTCTGTAAGAGGCCTGAGTCCCTGTGCTCTAAGCAGGCTGGGGAAGATGGTTGACTCTGCATTCCAAGTTGTGAGGGAGTAGTATATGAAAATGTCCCAAGTCCTGGAAAAAGAGGTTTTGCCTGAGAAACATGTGAATCTGACCCTCTTGAATTGACATGTTGGTTCTGAAGTCCACTACCTGATGGTGCATTCTCTCTTGCCCACATCAACTGTGAGGGTGTAGTATAATCAAACACTCCATATCCAGGACTCTTCCTCCTCCTTTCTTCAAGATCTTGCTCACTTCTGAGAAGTTGAGATGGTGTTGTATTATCCGGGAAACTTGTATTGCTAACAGGAATTTGATTTTGTTGCTGCCTCTTCTCAACCATCTGTGATGGTGTTGAATAGTTGAAAAAATAAAAGCCTGGGTTTCTCTCATGACTTTTATTTGCTTCAAGACTTCTTCTGTTCAACTCTGAAGTAGTTGTGTTGTCTGGATGCTGAGTGGAAGGCTCAGACTCTCTTCTCTGTATCAGTGTGGATGGAGTTGAGTACTCAAAAGCTCCATATCCAGGACTATTCATCTGAACCCCTTCTCTCTCTTGATAATTTTGCAACAACTTTGAAGGAGTTGTGTAATCTGGAAGACTTGCCTTGTGGTCTGGATGCTGAGTGGAAGGCTCAGACTCTCTTCTCTGTATCAGTGTGGATGGAGTTGAGTACTCAAAAGCTCCATATCCAGGACTATTCATCTGAACCCCTTCTCTCTCTTGATTCTTTTGCAACAATTTTGAAGGAGTTGTGTAATCCAGAAGACTTTCCTTGTGGTCTGGATGCTGAGTGGAAGGCTCAGACTCTCTTGTCTGTATCAGTGTGGATGGAGTTGAGTACTCAAAAGCTCCATATCCAGGACTGTTCATCTGAACCCCTTCTCTCTCTTGATACTTTTTCAACAACTTTGAAGGAGTTGTGTAATCTGGAAGACTTGCCTTGTGGTCTGGATGCTGAGTGGAAGGCTCAGACTCTCTTGTCTGTATCAGTGTGGATGGAGTTGAGTCCTCAAAAGCTCCATATCCAGGACTATTCATCTGAACCCCTTCTCTCTCTTGATTCTTTTGCAACAATTTTGAAGGAGTTGTGGAATCCAGAAGACTTTCCTTGTGGTCTGGATGCTGAGTGGAAGGCTCAGACTCTCTTCTCTGTATCAGTGTGGATGGAGTTGAGTACTCAAAAGCTCCATATCCAGGACTATTCATCTGAACCCCTTCTCTCTCTTGATACTTTTGCAACAACTTTGAAGGAGTTGTGTAATCTGGAAGACTTGCCTTGTGGTCTGGATGCTGAGTGGAAGGCTCAGACTCTCTTCTCTGTATCAGTGTGGATGGAGTTGAGTCCTCAAAAGCTCCATATCCAGGACTATTCATCTGAACCCCTTCTCTCTCTTGATTCTTTTGCAACAACTTTGAAGGAGTTGTGGAATCCAGAAGACTTTCCTTGTGGTCTGGATGCTGAGTGGAAGGCTCAGACTCTCTTCTCTGTATCAGTGTGGATGGAGTTGAGTACTCAAAAGCTCCATATCCAGGACTATTCATCTGAACCCCTTCTCTCTCTTGATACTTTTGCAACAACTTTGAAGGAGTTGTGTAATCTGGAAGACTTGCCTTGTGGTCTGGATGCTGAGTGGAAGGCTCAGACTCTCTTCTCTGTATCAGTGTGGATGGAGTTGAGTCCTCAAAAGCTCCATATCCAGGACTATTCATCTGAACCCCTTCTCTCTCTTGATTCTTTTGCAACAACTTTGAAGGAGTTGTGTAATCCAGAAGACTTTCCTTGTGGTCTGGGTGCTGAGTGGAAGGCTCAGACTCTCTTGTCTGTATCAGTGTGGATGGAGTTGAGTACTCAAAAGCTCCATATCCAGGACTGTTCATCTGAACCCCTTCTCTCTCTTGATACTTTTGCAACAACTTTGAAGGAGTTGTATACTCTGATATGGTAGCTGTACTATCAGTCTGTTTTGACTTTTGTTCATCTTTATCTAGTAGATACTTTTTTGGATCATTTTCTTTTGAGAATGCAATGTCTATGATTTTACTTGGTCTTATTTCTCTTTGACTATCTGATATTTCAGAAGTTCCCTCATATTCGTTTGTACTATTAGACTTTTTTTCTGAGATTTCAAATTCTTGCTCACTAGACACATCCTTTTCCAAAGGCTCTTGAGACTTTCCATCTCTCTCCTGTTCTTCATTAAGAATGATTGGGGAGTCACATGTCACAGACTCATCAACTGCATATTTAGATGTTGTACTGTCTTGTTTAAATCCTTTTTCCTCTTTCTTGAACTTTTCCTGTGAAGTGCTTCTCATCCTGTCCACATGTCTCTGAAGAAGCTTCAGGGGAGTATTATACTTTTCTCCACTATAATGAGACACCAAGTCTCCAACCATCTGGACTTTATCCCCAGGACCGGAAAAAACAGATTTTGCTGCATGCTCTGAAATATTGGACGTACTGCTATGGTCACTGTTATCAGAGCTAAAACTTTGTGTTGAAACAGATTCATTGCCATTATTTTCTGTATTTTTAGATTTTGCAAGAGGTGACATCACCTTGTCACCTTTCCTCCAGTACGAAATTATCACAGGTGGTTTTGAAGAGCCTTCGTCATTTGAAAATAGATTTCTCTCTGCCTCTTTACGTTGCTTTTCACGAAGAAGCAGCCCTGGAGATTTATATTCCCCCACACTGGGCCGTAAACCAATCGCAGTGCCTGTTTGTGGAGTCATGTGTCTTGATGAAGCCTGCTTTCGACTAGCCTGTGCACCAATACGAGCACCCAATCGTCCATCACTCAAAATGTTACTGACAACTTTTTTACCACCGGTATCAGCTGCAGACCTGACATCCGGTTTCTCATCTTTAAGAAATGCCTTACGATCTGTATTATCCTTTTTATCAATTTTCTTTTCCGTATCATCCATCTTAATTTCAAGGAGTTTTATTTTCTTCAACTTTTCAACCTCTGGCGTGACATTGGTCTTTTCAGAGATTTCACTTTGCATAGCATGACCATGAACATTACCGGTATTGACAGTTTTTTTTACCTGAATGGACTGGCTTTTTTTAACAGTTTCTCTTGTAGTAGGATCAATAGAGGCATAATTTTCAGACTGTATCTTTCTTGGACTTGGACTTGTATGATGAACAATGGAATCAACAGAATGACCTACTACAGATGGCCTACTGACATAAGATATAGTTTCCTTGACACCATGTGTTTTTGCTGTACTTTCAGCATCTTTTACAACTGTGATATCAGCGCTAGATAATGTCCTCATCTTCAGATTACTCCCTTTCCGTTGTAGAAGTATGCTACTATCACTTTCTTTTTGTAATTGGCCCACAGCTGTCTTTGGTCGACAGCCACCTCTTATTCCAGTTTCAGGATCATCTTCAATGCTTCCTTGTGATTTAACATCTGACATGCTTACATCTGAGTTGACTGCAGCATCCTTATCATTTGAAACATCCTCGCTACTTTCATTCTGATCCGAATCTTTTGATTCTGTACTGGACCTAACACCAAGTTTATATGGATTTACAAAATCTGTCAGAGCACCAGGCCCACTGTATTTCTCAATGATTTCTACACTTGAAGATACACTCTCCTTTTTATCAACAACAGTTTCTTCCCTACTATTGTGCAGACTTTCTCTCGCAGGGGTGTATTGGGACAGAGAAGGTTTCTCCTCTTCCACTGGATTGTCCTCATAGGCTCTTTCTGTCTCATATGTAGTGTCATTTGTCAGCTCCAGGGCACTAAAATATTGCTCCGAACTCATCAGCATCTTCGTCATAGATACATTTCTCCCCCCTTTGACAGGTGTAGAGGCCATCTGGGGTTGGAGGTTTTCAAAGGAAGACGCAGCAGTTTGATACTGAAACTCCTCACTTACTGAGTCAGACTGACTTGGTTGCTGCAGAAGCTCCTTCTCTGTGACTTCATGTTCATCAGTGCTCTGGACATCTTGAGGTTCTTTGGACTGAGCAGTGTCTCCAGCAGGAGAAGACTAACAAGCAGAGATGGAAGGAAATGAAAAGTTTGTCTCGGTCTAAAACACTGTCTCCTATCAACTGCATGAACTTGTATCATAGCATAAAAGAGCATGTATAGAATGGTATAGTGATGAAATAAATACAAGACTGGGTCTTCTGACCATGCTGTGCTTTGAATATAATTTGATTTAGTCTTACTAACAGAGCCTACTAAAGAGATCAAGACTGTGTCAAGATATGTCTGTTCACATCTAAAGAAGTTACAACGCCAGGGTAGTGAAATGAGTTGTTGTAATGTAAAATAACACCGACAACACAGTACTGCAATGCTTTTAAATTAGTGAGAGACATATTTATATTTATAATGGTTTTCAAACTGCTGATTCAGTCAATACTGTATTTACAGTAGTCATGGAACCAGTTGTTTTTTATTTATTCCAACCAATGTATCATCGGTTATTATCATATCTGTTACTGAGAATATTTTAAAGTTAAAGTGAGGTAAATTCATATGTTCAATGAGTTTCCTTTAGGCTCTTTTGTAGTCCTTCGATGGTGAATCATGGCGTAAATGTAAACTTCACGAACAGTGTTCATTCTAGAACACGGGTTCCTCAAAAACAATTTTAATTGTAACAAAAATATATGCCACCTATGGTAGTTTGATGAATAAATCTTACAAATTTAACTTATATGTGGCAGTTGGGCATAAAATGGTTACTACAAAAAAAACCTAACAGGTACGAGTCGGCTTTTGACTATGACAGGTTAACTATAGTAATATCAAAGAATCTTTTTGAGGGGTATCTAATTTGTCTGGTTTCTGGATAGAGCATGTGAAAAATTGCCATTCATTCATAACAGGTTTGTGGTGATCTTTCTTCATGCATTTTATCTTCGAAGTGTGTGAACACAGCAAACAAAGCATGTGCATTGTCTGAAATTCTGAAGACTGACTCTAGCATGCTGCACCTAAACATAGTCAGTTGGCCACCAGCAGAAAAGAGGCTTTCTTTAGATTTTCGTTCCCCCATTTTCCTGTACAGTCGTGCCTCGTTTATACGGACACTTGCATCATTTCACAATTCGTCCGTATAAACGAATTTCCGTATAACTGAAACCAGCTTCTTACTGGAAGAGTTACTTCCCTTCAATTATGCAACTCATGACAGATGACAGAGCAAACAGATACATCCACTCAATCTTTATTCAAGAAGTTTGAACTTTACCACATTTTGAGGTTTGAATTGTAAACAATAATTCCAAATTGTCCAGATCGCCTGTGTTCTCGTAATATGTAATCAAGGTCTCTATACAAGCACAAGCTTTTGACCTCTGACCTCCACAGACGCCATATTTATCGAATGGGATTACATGTACAATAAACAAACTCGTCTCAAACGTAACTCGAATCAAAGGATTAACACCAGCGGAAGGATGCCCACCAGCGGAAGTGTATTGTCCGGGTAAGTGAGACAATTTTGTGTGCATTTCAGTGTTTTGAGTATGAAAATGACCATCCGGTTCCGGAAACTTAATTTCCATATATACGGGTAAATTTATATAGTAATTATTTCGTTTTGAATGAAAATCGTCCGGGAACCGAGGTTTCCGGATATCTGAAGTCTGTATAAGCGGGGCATGACTGTATACCTTAAACCTTTTCTATTGCATAAAGGAGGTATCTGTACACAATTTTCATTGGGTAGTAAGCTTGCAAGTGTGTGCATGAATTTTCAGGGGGGCAAAATTGCACAAATTGAAGTAAAAATGCATAATTTGACAAAATTGGCTATAACATTTTTATTAAGTCATTAAACTATCCAAATTATGTCTTTGATTACAGGTAATGTGTTCGGTTATCTGAATTTGGCAAACATTTTGTTTCATTTGACTGTTGTTCTAATTCTCAGTGGAAACATTGATAAAAATCTTGTTTTTTTACTTCATTTTCAAATCTTGTGAGTAGGTAAAACACTAATTCCATTGAATTGTGACAATAAAACCACCATAACTGGGTATTAAAATCTGCCTGAACCATTGTACTATCCTATACAAAAAACAAAATGAAAATATATTACATAGGGGCTGAGATATTGTATACAATGTTACCCCAACCCCCACCCCAAAAACAATTTTGACGAAAATTGCATATTGAGATATGGTGGTAGATTATGTTGATGTAGCGGATGAGTGGAATAATTGCAAAAATGTGTAAAAACACCAAAATAGTAAACTCATAAAGAAACATGATTTTTCAAGTTTTTCTGTGAGCATTTATGGTGGCCATCTTGAATTTTAAGATGGCCGCCATTTTTACCTGTTCTCAAAATCAAGATCTAATATAGTTCTTCAACATGGTCATGAAATATATCATATGAAAGCTTTTTACATTGTCTTTTGAATGATGTACATTATTCACTGACTCCTGTGGTAATCTTATCCCCAACAATAGAACAAATGATATATCGAAAGCTAATTTCTCTAGCGACACCAATCAACCTCCAAAGTCGGATTTAAATAAAATGGACATCGTTTCACTCAAAATTGTAGATATACTGCACTTTTGTCTGAGCGTTTCACTAGTTTATCATTTGAGTGAGAAAAAAACCATGAGAATACTTGTATCATAATGAAGTATTAAAAATTACATCACAGAGTCAAGGGCTGTGAAATAATGTCACCTCTAGTCACCGTCAGAGTCCATCTCTTCTGGCAAAGTAGTAAAGTTGTTTCTGTAAAGGCATGACACAGCACAACTGCATCCAAGGGAACATCCCATAATGTTCTTGGCGCAGCTGCACCTGGATGAGGAGAATCTGCCTGTTGTGCATTTACAGGTGAGCAATTCTAGACACAGTGCTGGCATTCGTTTCTGGGTCATGGGGTTGGGTTCTATGACATCCTCAGTAGACGCCCACATATACTCTTCTGGTGGTGGAATATCAGCCTTTCCTTTGTGTGCAGAACACTACGTGATGCAAATGTGCTGACATCTGAGTAGAGGTTGTGTGGTGGGAGTTCCTCTAGGTCTCCAACTCTGTGGAACATGTCAGCTGTAAGTGTATTAATGCTAGTTGCAGTCGATGCTGGATTGTACACTTTGATGACAAATGAGCGAACGCTTTAACCACTAGGCTACCCGACCGCCCCTTAACTTGTATGAATAGAGGGTCCTTTGCAGTACCTGCACCCATCTATATCTGAGCAGAAAACCTATGTTTATGATGTATCAACGGTACTAACACATCAGTGTCTTGGTTGTGAATAACAATGTGGTCGTGTACATTGCAGGAGGCATCCATGACATTCATCACCATCCGTGTATCTGCCTCTTCATGTGTTTATAGTAGATTTGGTATTGCTGCAGATTGATCTGAGGAAGATATTACATCATCAACTTGTATGAATCGAGGTGACAAGCTTTTGTCAGAGTTCATTGACAATCGATTGGCGGATAATGCTAAGAGTATTCATGACAAAATACCAGAAAATATGTCCCATAGTACATATTCCATACTGTACACCATGCAGGTATCAAAGAAGTCAACTCAAACCAATACCTTTAAGCAAGGAAGAAATCTTTTCAGAGGGTTGCTGAGTGCCACCCACAGTGGAAGAGAAGACAACGTACCACATCTTCTAACACATGAGCTGTCCCAGACCCCACCTTCCCTGGCAACAACAGATGGTCTACTTTGTACAACAAAGCTGCATTATCACATTTGCTTGCAGATTCTCATGCTCATGCATTCTCATCATGCACAACATGCATTGTTATTGCTGGCATGGCTCTTGCACAGGCCATAGGCAAACCAAGCAAAGCTAGGACCTCTGGAGATTTGGCTGATGTTTTCAATTAGAATGTGCTGAAGAAATTCAGTGAAACTTGTACTTAAGTCGATGATGTCTTTGACAAATATGTTGCAAAGTCAGTAAAATCTGCAACTAGGGCAGGTGATCGATCAAAGAAAATTCGAAGAATAATAGATAAATGAGACATCCTTCTGCTGGCTTCATTGTCCAGTTTTATTGGAATGAACGAGAACAAGCAACATTTGATACAATTCTTGACCACAGAATTGTACGCACAGGCACAGCATCTCCATCATAATCATCAAATCATCATCATTGCAGGTGGATTAAGCAGCCCAGATACAGCAGTATCTTCCATAGATCAATCTGAAGCAATGCCAAATCAACTGTCAACACATAAAGAGGCAGATACACAAATGGTGATCAATATCATGGATGCCTCCTGCAGTGGATACGACCACTATGTCATTCACAGCCGAGATATGGATGGGTGCATATCAGTTGATGATGTACATCAATCTCTCATTCTCTCAGATGTTGTAGCAGCTCTAGCAGCATTCCATGCGGTCACAGGTTGTGGACCTGTAACATATGTATTGCACAACCATATTTGTTGCAACCAACAGAAGAAACTGGTGCCTTCGACATGAAAGAGACAGACTCACTTGTCATCCAAGTGTACGATCCAGCATCGACTGCAACTAGCATTAATACACTTACAGCTGACATGTTCCACAGAGTTGGAGACCTAGAGGAACTCCCACCACACAACCTCTACTCAGATGTCAGCACATTTGCATCACGTAGTGTTCTGCACACAAAGGAAAGGCTGACATTCCACCACCAGAAGAGTATAGGTGGACGTCTACTGAGGATGTCATAGAACCCATCCCCATGACCCAGAAACGAATGCCAGCACTGTGTCTAGAATTGCTCACCTGTAAATGCACAACAGGCAGATTCTCCTCATCCAGGTGCATGCAGCTGCGCCAAGAACATCATGGGATGTTCCCTTGGATGCAGTTGTGCTATGTCATGCCTAAACAGAAACAACTTACCTACCTCTCCAGATGAGACATACTCTGACGGTGACTAGAGGTGACATTATTTCACATTTTATTTTTCTTACTTCATAATACTACAAGTATTCTCATGTTTGTTTCTTCGCTCAAATGATAAACTAGTAAAATGCTCAGACAAAAGTGCAGTATATCTACAATTTTGAGTGAAACGATGTCTATTTTAATTTAAATCTAAATTTAGGTTGAAGTAGCTAGAGAAATTAGCTTTCAATATTTCTTTTTTTTCATTGTTGGGGATCAGTTTACCACAGGAGTCAGTGAAAAATGTACATCATTGAAAAGACAATGTAAAACGCTTTCATATGATATATTTCATGACCATGATGAAGAACTATATTAGATCGTGATTCTGAAAACAGGTAAAAATGGTGGCCGTCTTGAAATTCAAGATGGCCACCATAAATGCTCACAGAAAAACTTGAAACATCATGTTTCTTTATGAGTTTACTATTTTGGTGTTTTTACACATTTTTGCAATTATTCCACTCATCCACTACATCAACATAATCTACAACCATATCTCAATAAGTAATTTCCGTCAAAATTGGTTTTTGAGGGGGTGGGGTAACATTGTATACATATCTCAGCCCCTATGTAATACGTTTTCATTTTGTTTTTTGTATAGGATAGTACAATGGTTCAGGCAGATTTTAATATCCAGTTATGGTGGTTTTATTGTCACAATTCAATAGAATTAGTGTTTTACCTACTCACAAGATTTGAAAATGAAGTAAAAAAACAAGATTTTTATCAATGTTTCCACTGAGAATTAGAACAACAGTCAAATGAAACAAAATGTTTGCCAAATTCAGATAACCGAACACATTACCTGTAATCAAAGACATAATTTGGACAGTTTAATGACAATAAAAATATTACAGCCAATTTTGTCAAATTATGCATTTTTACTTCAATTTATGCAATTTTATCCCCCTGAAAATTCATGCACACACTTGCAAGCTTACTACCCAATGAAAATTGTGTACAGATACCTCCTTTATGCAGCGGTAGAAACTAACAGTTTCAGTCCACTAGTCCTTATAATGATAGCATATAGCAGAACCTTTAAAAATGTCAAAATTCTACTAGTCCTTAGGATACCTTTACTATTGGGCAGTTTGGCAAGGACTATAGGACTAGTGCCAATTTCTAACCCTGTTTATGCAATAGAAAAGGTTTAAGGTATACAGGAAAATGTGGGAACAAAAATCTTGTTTTTCACCCCTGGCCAACTGACTAACATGCCACATGGCGACTACGAACACGACAGACAGGCGTATATCTCTTGTAGGGAGGTAACTTACCATGATGGCCCTAGGAGAGGTGGACTGGAAGGAGGTCCGTGCCTCAGGAAGATTGCTGCCATTACTTGAGTTCCCTGTCAACACATGAGAAGCTGGGATACAGACAGGGGTATTCAAGGTACAGTGTTGGCAATCAATGGGCATTTTACTATTGATCATTGGTCATAGTCAGTTTCGGCAATGTTAATATTGTGAAAAGTCTGAAAGATTTAAGTTTAAATCTCCGTGGCTGGCATAGAGCATACACCGTATGGAGAGTAGGGAGTGTAGAATGTAGTGTGTTTAGAGTGTATTGCATCTAAAGAGTCAAGAGTTAAGAGAGTCCAGCGACTGGAATATAGAGTGTCTGGAGCATCCTACCTGGCACCTTGGGAGTTCCGTGTGTACTCATACTGCCTCTGTGGGGGGAAACACTATCTTCAGCTGAAACACATGGAGTTTAGATACCAAACTTATACAGTTCAGAACTGTCGACAGTAAAAACTAAAAAGATAAACAAGTGTCTGCTGAACATACGGAAGCCTTTAAGGGCCATTTGGGTTTTTTATTACTTGAAATTTCAATATACTAACTTGAAATTTCAAGATACTGTGATCTTAAAATTTCAACTAAGTATCTTGAAATTTCAAGGCACTAACTTGAAATTCCAAAATGTTTTGTTGAAATTTCAAGATGTAAAAAACAAAAAAACAAATGGCCCTGAAAGGATTCTGTATGAACAAGCTGAAACACCACAGTATTTTAGTAATATTAAAACATGCCAGCCTAAAGGGGGTGGAAAGCCCAAGGTGGCTCAGACTGTAGGCCTAAGATTTACCACTTTTTGTGTGACCCACTAGTGCAGCATGACATTAATGTTTGTTTATTTGTTTCAATAATCAAATCTGGGCCAGAAATTCCAGTGATTGATATTGTGAGTACATGACTAGGGTACTGAGACATGCAATCAACCAAGTCAGCGAGCCTGACTACCTGATCCATTTAGTCGACTGTTATGACCAGCATTGGTTGAAGGGGACCAATTCTAACCCGGAATCGCGATGATGGGAGCATGAGAGTACTGACACATGTAACAGCCTGTATGAACATACCTGGAAGCCCATGTTGTGGCTTGGTACTACAGTGAGTGGTACTGCTTGGTAGTGTTAGCGGAGACTGGTCAGACTGGTCTAACTTGAGGAACACATCCACCACTGACTCACACTGTCTGGAAACACTGCAGATACATAATGATAGACATATTAAAGGGCAGGTAAAGTCAACATAGCAACTCTGCAGATTTTAATACTTTAGGGCATGTATGTTTAATCACAAATGCTTGACCTAAATCAAATTTGAAACACAACAGGCGAAATCACCCCCCAAACAAAACATTCTGCCACTGAGGGGATTTCCCTTTAATACTAGGGTTAAATCGGGTTCCCGTATGTTTGACGCGCTGTGCAATTTCAGTGATCAGGCCGGCATCCAGTCTGCCTGGTGGTCAATTGGGGGTCTTCCAACTTGTCCAGCAGCTACTGTCATAGGTAGAAATTCACGCGACTGGTATGACAATAGGGGATTAAGACGTACATGTCACATGACACCACTAATTGGTTAATATCTAAATCTGTACAAATTCATTGAGATACTGCAGGTTGAGCAGGATAATACTGTGATCACAATCCAGTTAATTTGATGACACCCAAGAAGAAGAAGTTTCAAAACATAAACCATGGCCAAGAGAGGGAGAATACACAACTTCTCGCCAACCAAAAACCAGTTAACCATTATCACAGCTTGATGCTGTTTCACTCTTAGTTGGACTGTGAATTATGCAAATTTGAGCATCTATTGAGGATTTTTGTGTCGCAAATCGTTATCTATGTGTTACAAAACACATAGCATGTTAGCCATGTTAGCAGAAAAGGAATATTTGTATAGCTGCTCAGAGTCACACATCAGCCAATGAAAACCCTGGTCATGCACCGCAGCGCTGGTACCTTTAGGCCACACCCCCAAACATGTTTGTTTGGAAGCTTATTATCTGATTATGAAGCGTGTGATTTGAGCAATTTCACTTGGACATTTAAATACTCTCTTCTAACGTTGGAAATTATTTTCCTTCAGAAAATGACTTAATATATAAGACAACTGATATTCACAAAACAAATCGCAAATATTTTGTCACTTCTTGCCTTTTAAGCAGGAAATAAGATTGTAAGAATAATATATTGATGGAAATATATAAGGGAACACTTAGTCTTAAATACAGTAGGCTCGGTGGTTCACACAGTTTAACCAGCGCTTTTAAATCGTTCACACTTCAATGAACCCATCCAAACTGACGTTCAATTCTTATAATTTCATACTTTGTAGTTTACTGGTCTCGCCGAAAAATATCGTAACAATGTTTCCTTGAATTCGAAGTCCTCTGGAACATTGCAACGATGTTATTTTGTCGGTATTTGCCGGCTCTCGGTCACATACGTTTCCCCCACTCATGCTCAGTTATGCAAAGAAAAATAGCTCTTTGAATATATACAACATAATCTAGAAATATGTCAACATAATTTCATTCTCTGAAAAAATTTACAAACAATATTTGGGATAAATCAAATCTTAAAAATAGGTTACAGGAAGGTGAACAAAAATATAAACATGACCTCGATGCACCAAGGCGAGGTCAACCTTCAAGCGCGGATTTATATATGACGTCATATAAGTTTGTGAAGAGGTGCATTTCGAGTTGAACGGGAGCATGAGGATGAAATTTATAATTACTGCTGTTGAAAATGACGTTGATGGAGCAGTTGGAGTGTTTTCCAGACGCGTGAACCCTCTCATGACACTAGCAAATTGGGAATATCACCGATTTATGAATGTGTTGCTTGTGTTTGGATAATCGCAAACCAATTCGGACGATGCGGAATGGACTGGTGGGGATTGAACTGAGTGCTCTTAAACTTGTGTGTTTTGTGATAATTTTCAACGTCAGGGTGTGTTATATTTGGAGTTTGGGATTTGTCGCGTGTGCTGTAATACTTTGCTTAGCTGGTGTTTCTTGTCACCTGAGATGGACCTACTACATGACCTGATACCAGTTTCATTCCTGTGCCCTGTCTCTCCTCATGTGCCGCCGCTTCTCGGCCTAGAATGCACTGTGTAGATCAGCCAACTCAGAAACCGGAATAGTAGATTTCTAATTCCGTCTACGGATATTTTCTCACCTGCGATGACCAATCAGTAAAACAGGTAGGCAAGTTGTTTTGTTTTGTTTTTTTAAATTTATGTTAATGTTTTATGGTTTCTCAAAATCTTAGATTTTTTTCCCGATACGATACTGAATCGAGTTTTAGTTTGGGATTGATCAGGAGCAGTCGGGGTTGCTCTGCGTCAGCGGCCACATCTTAGCAGGGTACTACACTGCTTTCATTGTTGCTAGATTCCTGTCATTTCCGAAAACAAGGCATCAAAGTCAATATCGCATAATAAATCAATTTTGTTCACCTCAGTAATTTTACAGAATAAATTTTCTTTACTTGCGTTATTAGTATTGAAAGATAGCCATTCCACATTCAAATCACTGTAAGGACAATCCATTTTGTTTCATGTAGCAGCTCGACGACATTAAACACCAGAACCAAAGCATTTATTTATTTATAAGTCAGATGAAATGTTACAAGACCAGGCAAAAATACTAAATTAATTATATTGCTGATAAATGCAGGGATTAAAAAGAAAATAGAAAAAACGAGTTGATCGTAAACACCGATCAAGAATTCGGGGAAACCCCGGAAAGTAGTTCCGGCAAAAGTTCACACGCTCAATTTCATAAAAGATTGTTCAAATCGGGTGAACTTTTTTTGTCCGTTCACAGGTGTGTGAACTCCAAATATCAGATCACGTGACCACCCATTCAGCCAATCAGCATGAAAGAAACAGTGTATACTTCAAGTATGAAATTATTTACAAATGTACTGACAGTAATGCTTATTTCCGTATATTTTTCATTGTTCCCTTAGCATTATATATTGGCTCTTGTCCTATAGTTCTTGCAAAATAGCCCAATAGTTTTTTGCCCTTTTAAAGGCTTTTGCTACATGTTATCATTATAAACTCTAGTAGACTGAAATTGTTTGTTTATATCACTGCTTATTCATTTCCATCAGTATATATGGGAGCGGTCCTGTTATCTGTACAATGGATCGTCTTACTATCGTAAGTCTAGCTGTGAAGATCCAGGTTAGATTAGGTCTTCAGCAACCCATGCTTGCCGTAAAAGGCGACTATGCTTGTCGTAAAAGGCGACTAACGGGTCGGGTGGTCAGGCTCGCAGACTTGGTTGATCATGTTGATGCATGTCATCGTTTCCCAACTGTGTGAATCAATGCTCATGATGCCAATCACTGGATTGTCTGGTCCAGACTCAATTATTTACAGACCACTATCATATAGCTGGAATATTGCCGAGTGCGGCAGTAAACAACAAACAAAAGCAAAGTAGTCACATTCTCCATACTTATCAACATGATCAAGAGACAGATCAAGGACAGCTAATTTCACACATTTCTCTACAAATTTGATCACTTCTTTTTTTCCATATCAATAACAGTACTTATTTTTGTTAAACATTTTGATAAACAACACTTGTTAAGACATTTATATGGCACATGGAGAAATCCCTCCCTAGGTGGTCACTTGAATATGTAACGGGGAACCTGTCTCATGAACGCGTTACATCCTTTACTGAAGACCCTTGTCACAAATTGAACAAAAAGACATGGACATGATGGAATGAACACAGTTTGACACAAAATTGTCTGCTGAAGTTAGAGGTATGCATGCCACCTGCTTCTGCTAGGGAGAGAGCTCTGTTATATCATTGTATCTCTATTGTGGGCGTTTTGAGCACTGTACCCCAAGTGTGGATGCCAGCATATTATAAATGGACTTATTATTATAAGGGCATACACAAACTTTCTATAAAAGATAGCTACGCGATAAATCACAAAGAACAATGAAGTGTGGTTTATATCACGATAAAACATTGTACTATAATAACATCATTTCTGAAGATTTGAACATGCGCTGGCAGCTTGACGTCGTAAATTGGACAACGTTATTTTGAGAGGGTACTGCCTTGCGAATTGATCCCCATAGATGTAGCTGGGCCAAGCAGATATATGTACGCTATGGCGGCCGAACGATCGCATCCTAAGACTAGATACAACAATCAGTATTGGGAGAAAAGGTGCATATCATAGAAGAAAAAATTGCGAGAATACCAAACTTAACCCCCCTTGTACATCAGATGGACTTGTCCGACATTGCCAAGGTCGGACTGTATTCAGGGAGCCATCATTATCTACATACAGGGAAATGTTTTTAAACATGTTAAAGGTTGGACATCTTATTGACATCCTTAAAAAGGCTGTACAAAACCTTGATATCTCATGTTAGAAATAAACTACTCGTGGTCGTTTATTGTACAATAAAACACTGCAGGGAGAATAAACCATGAGGGGTGCAGCTTGTCTGGGAATAAAATTCCCATCAATAAAATAAATACACAAACAGGATAATTATGTTAAACATGTTCAAGATGATAATCATGCAATAGTGCACATTTGAAAGGCTTAAATCATGGAAAACGGTTACCAACTTCATGGCAAAAACTAGTACACATATTGAATTAATCTTTTTTTCAGTTAATCAGTGTATTAACTATGGCTCATAGCCTACAGATCACATTACCATTGTTGACACATATATATCATGATATATCTCAAATGTTTCGATATATAAACAGAATTCCATGTCCAGCATAACTGTTTCATTTCAACTTTACCTTGACCTTCTTCCCTCCATCTCCATAACAAAGAACAATCCTACTCAAGTATATGTCCAGTCCAGCCTTCAAAATTCACTCCAGTCCACTACCCTGAGACTACTAAATTGTGCTGAAGACAAGCAAAAATCCAATGATGGTAGTCCTCACTGACAAGTAGCATTTGAGGGCTATGTTTCTCAACCAGTTCTCAACGCTTTAATTTTGCTGTTGTAACTGAAGAAAACTGACACAAAATGTACACAGAGTAACCATTTTGTCTTGTTCAAGCAGCACAAGCTACAACTCTGAGGACAAGTGAAATAAGGTTTAAACTGGTCATTTGGACTTGTATAAAACCAGATTAAGACTAAGTTCCTCCAGATGTTCCATGCATCCCACAACTG